ACACCTTACGCACATCTACTGTTTCTCTAGTTCAGACCCTGTAGAAAGAACAGTCATTGCCATCAGGTTGAGATGCAACTTCCCAGGGAAGAGTTCTTTAGTTCTGGCCATGGGAATCTGAGCAGGGGACTCGCGCTGGTGAACACTCTCCTGTCACCGGCAGCATCTCCCATCTCCAAACCGCACTTTGAGCTACGCATTCCAGTGACACGAAGGGAATGTCACCAGTTTCTCATTAAAAACCGGGGCCGTTCCGCACCGATCGTGCCGTCCATTGAATAAACAACAAAATAACACCTCGAGTGCTCGGGAACCCGCGTGCGACGAACCCTTCCGACTTATCCCCGGTGCCTACAACGCGCCCGCCTGCCCCCGGCACCGGCATAGAGCCGAGGACCGGCCAGGGAGGGATGGGGCATCTGTGGGCTCCCCGCCGGGACCGGGAGCGACAGCCGGGAGCCGCTGCTCCCACGGGGGGGTGTCCGGGGAAAGCCCTTCGCCCCCCGCCCGCCGCCTCCGACACCGGCGAGCCCCGCGCCGGCCCCGGCACTCACCGGCGGCGGCCTCCAGCAGCGCGGCGGAGCGCAGCAGGCGGTAGTAGCGCTCCATGTCCCCCGCCGAGGTGCCCCCCGGCGGGGGCCCGGCCGGGGCCGGGGCCGGGGCCAGGGCCATGCCCCGGGCAGCGCTCCCCGCCGGCACCGCCGCCGCTCCGCCGCCGCCGCCCCGGGCCCGCGCGGCCGCCCAGGCGGGGCCGCCCCTCCGACCGCCCCCCGCACCGCCCCGGCCGGCCCAGCGACCGCCCAGCGACCGCCGCCTTCGGACCGTTTCGGCCTTTTTTTCACTTCTCTTCCCTTTCCCCCCCCAACCTTTTTCCTCTCTCCCCCCTTCTTTTTTTTTTTTTTTTTAACTTTTTTTCCTTCTCCCCCCTTTCCGTCTTCCCCCCCCCTTTTTCCTTTTCCCTCTCTTTCCCCTCCCTTTTTTCCTTTTTATTCCCTTTTTCCTTTTCCACATTTCCCCCTCTTCTTTTCCTCTTTTTTTCTTTTCCCTTTTTTCCTTTTCTATTTTTTCAGTATTTTCCCCTTCTGCCCCCTTTTCCCCTCTTTATTCTCCATTTTTCCTTTTCCCCTTTCCCCCTCTTTTTTCCCCGTTTTTCCTTTCCCCCCTTTTTTCTTTTATCTCCCTTTTTTATATTTTCCCCTTTATCTCTTTATTTCCTTTTTTCTTTTTCTTTTTTTCATTTCCGTTTTTCCTTTACTCCCCTATTTTCCTTTCTTTTCTTCCTCCCCCTGCTTTTAATCCTTCTTCTTTTTCCCTTTTTTAAACTTACCACAACTCCCAGTGCCCCCTAGCACACCACCCTGCAACTGGATTTTCTCCCTGCCTTAGTGCCTATAACGTTTCTCTAAGGAGCAAAAAAAAAAAAAAAAAAAAAAAAAAAAAAAAAAAAAAAAAAAAAAAGCGTTTCCATCCTCTGCAAGCAGCATTCTAGCAAATTCCTTGAACAATTTATGACAACTACATTAAGCCATACTACAGCCAATGCTGGCCAGAGCTCTAGGCATCGTTGTCATTTTCCCCGATGCTGAGGTTCAAACGATGCCAGCTCATTCTTAACAGGAGCCTGAGCTGCCCAGGAAGGCAGCACAGAGAAGTGGATGTTCCTGTTTTTCCAAAACAACCTCTTAATTATGCTCCTTACTATAATAACAGCCTTTTCCCAACACTTTAGCAGTGAGAGCTATTAATTTAGAACCCAAGGTCTAACAATAAAAACCAGCGTCTTTTGGTAGACCACAGCCCTTCTTACACTAATGCAGATGTCCCCTGATTCTGCCCATTCAGGCAGGACTCCTTGTTTGTGACACAGCAGATCCTCACCAACAGAACAGATTGAATAGACGATTTTCTGTCTGGTCATAAAACACATCTTGTGTGACAGGGAGAGTTCATGTGCAGTTACTCATCAAAAAGTCTGGCTGAGGTGCACAGCAATAAAATGTGGTTTTAAAATAGCCATATGCAAAGCTACAAGTAAGGAAAGACAGCCACACCACATTCCTGCTGTATTCTTATTGCAGGGATGCTATTTGCCCTAAACTGCCACAGCTCATAGAGAAACAAGGCCCATCCAAGTGCTGACTGTCTCTTTTTTGCTCTACCACTGTGCAGGAGATGCTGAGGAGGACTCACCCCCACTGAGTGTTGCACACCCATGTCTGGTACTGGCTTCAGGAAAAACAAAGCTACACAGTAGAAGATGCAGCTGTTACCCCTATGGTTCAGCAATCAATCCATTTCTTGCTCTTTGAACAGAAGACAAAATCATTAAGGCAGGATCTGGATCAGGTCTCTGCAGCCAACACACCCTACTACAGCCCCAGATGGGCTGGGCTGGGCCACAGCACCAGATACCTACTGGCAGGAAACCTACACATCCCAAAGCTGCACCTCCTCCAGACACTTCAGGTGGTGCAAGAAAACCTGAGCCAGCTCTCAGCATGGAAAAGCTGTGTTTGCACAGGCTGGGGGGCAATTGCTCATGGCTTTTCCTTATGGCCACAAAGGTTTGGAAAGCTGGCTGCTACAGTCCCTCACAATAAATGCTCAGCTATCCCAGCACGGCATTCCATGGAACCATCATCCAGCTTCTTGGGTTTTACACTGGCAGAAGATACTCAGCGTGTCTATCTCCTTCAGAGAGCCAAGCATTGCTCTCTGCCTGCCCAGGAAATGATAAGCTGAGACAGAAGGAACAATGAGATGGATAAAAAGGAAACAATGACTGCCAGAAATAGAGGTGTTTCTTTTCCAGAGATTTTCCATCCTAACAAGGCCTCTAACAAGGTTCGGCATTCTAAGAGTGGCACATATACACCTGTGTGCAAGGGGAAAGAGCTGTTTCACACAGCTGGGGAAAATCTTGGCAGCACCTGCAGCACCTCTCTTCGCAGAGATTTATTTCATGTGGGTTCAATTCCTTATGATTAAGTCTCATCTTATGGAGAAGGTGTAGGAAGAATTCCAACTAATTTCATTAATTCCAGATTGGAGGCTGGGGAAAAAAAAAACAACCCTTAAACAAAATTCAAAACCTCTTGAATTTGACAAAAAAAAAAATAAAATTTTTTTTCTTTTTCTAGGTTAAGGCTAGAATGTTGGGTTGTGACTGGGGCCATTATTTGAATTTGAGAAATCACCCTTCAAAAATACCTGTTTAGTCAAGTGCTGAGAACAGGAAAAACAGAGCTGGTTAAATGCAATTTGGAGTCAAAGTGATGTCCAAGGGAATTGCTCACCTCTGGAATAAGCATAGTGACAGCAAAGTACTTGTGCATAACACTAATTAAGTTCGGGTTGATTTTCATAAACGGGAATTTTAGGAGGATTTCTTCTGCAGACAGCAGCATCACTCTCAATCCGGGGTACTGTCCGGTGTGGGCTCTTTCCAAGCTGGTCCAGGAGAAGCAGATCCTTCATAACCTGTCAGAAATCCTGGCCCCACTGAAGCCAGCCAAACACACATGGATTTAATCAGGATGAGGATTTTATGTCACCTACTTGAATGTGAAAAAAAGAGAAAGGACTCCACTCTGCTCTCCCACTCTCTCCCTGGGTCAGTCAGACCTGCCTTATTTGTTGTTGCAACCTCTAGTTTTGGAAGGAACAGTCATACAAGTGCACACACACCCTTTCTCCAGGCCACAGTGTATTTTCCAGCTTAGCAGGTTATCCCCAGACGTGCGAAGATTTCAGAAGCAAAGCCCAATCCCAGCAATAAGAATGCTGTGGATGCATCTCCTGCAACAGCTGCTGGGGGACAGGGAGGGACAGGGAGACCACGACCCCTCCACGTGCCAAGAGCCCTCACACGCCAATAGCCTGACCTGGAAAAAATTGCTGTCCTTGTTAAAAATCACCTTACAACATGACATTGCTTCTCCTTTCTAACAAGAAGGTCCACATGGGTGTTTTAAATGCTAATTTTGGTGCTTTCTGAAATACCCAGTGACCTGCGGTCGTCTCCCATCGCTTACATTTACAGTTTTTGTCCTGACAGCCTGGGTAGGCAGCTCAGAGTAAAACCCCTTCCAGCTTTTCAGATGATTTTCACTACCGCTCACTCGGGCTATTAAGATTCTCAATGCGTGTGTCTGGTTTCCAATAGTACAAGCTGCGTCGGAAAGGTTAGACTTTGTTTTAAATAGCTCAGCCATCTGTCCTGCGGTGGCTGATGGGAGCTGCAGGGACCGAAGCAGCCAAAACAGAATTTTTCAAACTGTCATTTTTGCATTACAAACATTTCAGCTTGAATCAGACCCGTGTCCTTAAAAAAAAAAAAAAGTTAGGTCTATATTTTTTCCTTGAGTATTATACAAACACTGCGAGTCGTGCTTTAACAGCTTCCTTGCGTTGCTGGAATTTCATCAATGCAAATATCTGGCCTGAACTTCACCAGCGCCAGGCACTTTGCAAAGCACAGAATCAGCCACATTTGTGTGTTTCTCGGCTTTGAACTGAGAAATGCTCATTTATTACAGGTAGCCACGACACACAGAACCAACACACAGCAGTAAGGAAAACACTTCATGTATGGAAATCAGGCACACGGACCTGCATTTTTCTCAGCCAGTTCCTAAATGTCAAAGCTCTGAGTTCACCTATTCTGCAAAGTTAAATCAATTTATTCACCTAATTCACAGGACTCACTTTCTTAATTTGACATTATTTTTGAGGGAAATGGGTTTAGAGTGCACAGGCCAGCTATGTGCAGCAGCTGTTACAGCAGAATTGCTAATTCCCACATCGGTGGGAAAACAAAAATACATGAGAAGAAATTTGTATTTCCTTAGGCAAATGCTGCTCCACATCAAACAACCAAGAATGGCCATCATCTACCCATCAAGGAAAATGCCAATGATCTCCCTAGTACTACCCTGGAAAGGTCCATGTAACAAACTATCACCCAGGAGTATCCAAGGAGACAAGACAGACAACATATATTAATCAGAACAACATACCAAAGTTTATTGATTACTTCAAACAAAAGTTTCTGTAATGAAAAAAGAGCAAGTTGCATTCATAAAAGGTAACATTCACATTCAATTTCCTTTATATAAAGCAACATAAATGTATAAAATTGCATTTAAGTGAAAAAAATGTAAGGTTGCAGTCCTTTTTTTTGCAAGAAGCTGAAAATGTATCTGCTCATTGCCTGTATATAATTTACATTTTCTATATACTACATGTTTTTTAAAAAAATTCGTAGCTGGGAAATTGGATAAATGCTGCAGTATTAGGTAAGTTTTTCAACTGTGTGTATACAAATTCAATTTGAAGCTTTTATGCAATTCCAAGTAATTTATAATATTCTCATAACGATTAGGATTAGTGTTTGAGAAGTCGCTATGACTACACCAAGCTCCACTGTTATCACGTAACAGTTTTAGAGGGAATCTTAATTACTTTCCTTATCTTTCAGTGTCACTAGTCAAGTGATTAAACTTCAACGAATTATTATGAGAAAAACCCAGCCTTTTTTCCTTCAGGATTTTCCACTGATAAGCCTGTACTGACCTTTTAGCTCACTGAGGAGCACCGTAACAGTGCAGTGGGTATCGTGAAACACGAACAACCACCACAGCACTGCTCTCGGATTATCGCCACTTCGGCATCCTGCTGCCTTACACCTTACAGTCACTATCACTACTTTTTCTTCCCCTCTCTAACCTCAAAAGGAGTCTCCTGTTTCCCCTGATTTCACAAGCCACCCACAGCAACAGGAATTTCATTTTTGCCATTACATTACTGAATGATGAGGATCAGCTCTCCTGCGGGTGCAGGGCAACCTGGTGGTCCTGGCACCCAGCACTACACCAGTGCACTAGCTGAAGATCCAAGCCCAAGAAAACTTGCATTTTCCTAAAAGAGCTGCTGTTCAAGAAATTTCACATTAAATCCACCCCACTAGTCAGCACACACACCTTGGGTTTGAACATACAGCTACTGCAATCCATTGGGGACCAGACACTTGGAAACAGAAAGAGATTTGGTTCTCAGAAGGCTCTGTCTTTAAACAGGCTGCAGAAATTAGCCTGTTTAAGTGACTATTTGGACAGTTCACACATACATGGCAAGTTTCACTCTTCCCATTAACATCACCAGCAGAACCTCCAGTAGAATTCCAGGGGAACAGACTTTGAACCTCAGAGTAGAGCGTGACACAAAACAGAGAAGCAAGGTGTGAGGCTTGGGACCATTCGGGCTTGGAATGGTTTTGAATCACAGGAATTAGGCATTTTAGTGCCTACATTTTAAAGGTTATGTAAACACAAGTCAGCAACTGTATATTTAAGGAGAAAGGTTAGATTTGGCATATAGAGCGTATCTTCATTGTATTCATTGTATACTTGATCTGTAGGCACCACATTTTAGCAAGAAAAGTTGAGAATGGGACAAGGTCTGCAAGTTGAATTCTAAGTCCGTGAAATGAGCTAGGAAAAGGGAAAAAAAAGAAGAAGAAAACAAAAGCTTTGCCCATGGGACACATGCTGGCAGTGCAGCTCCTTACTTGCATGCAGCAAGGAGTTGAGCCGCAGTCGCTGACATGGTGCAGACATCACTTGCGTTGAGGCCAGTGCAGCGTGTATAATACAGTGGTCCTGTCCATCCTTCCCCTCCCATGCTGGGTGATGTCAAAGCAGCCACTGGCCACAGGGACTGTGCACACCCCTCTCCCACTCAGGTAAGGCCCATCCAAAGTCCTTGCGACGCGCAGAAGAATTTGCCAGCAGCTGATCTGCACCAGTTGAAGATGGACCACAGGGGTGGCAGCCAGAGAGCGAGACTCGATTCTTCCAAAAAATCAGCAGTCTGCAGTTTAACAAAATTTGGTGAGGGGAACGTTCCATCTAGTCCCAAACTGTTTCATTGTATGTAAATGACATGAAGCCTGAGCGAGCGGGAGCCAAACCCAGCAGCAGCGTAGAGCTTGTTGCTTCTGAAATGAGACTTGAAGCTTCTCACAGTAGTTCCTCTGCCCCACTCCGAAGAGCGCCGGGGCCGGGGGAAATCGGCACGAGGGAGGGACCGTCACACCAACCCGCGGTGGCACACAGGGTGCTCTGTCACTGCTTATGACTTAACACAACAAAAAAAGCTGCTCTTTCCACATAGGAAGTATCAGAGAAAGAAAAATAAAAATATTGAGAGTCAGGCATCTCACCTCTGCTGTGCATGACCTAAAGAGAAAAATTCCTACGACCATGGTACAGGTAGATTTCAAAAGAACATGCCAATTTAAAAACCAAATAAAATGTAAAATGAAATCGGGTTCATGTATTCCTTTTATTTTTAAACTGGCTTCTTTTTTCTTAGTGCAAATAACTCAAGATGCAGTTTTATACGCCTGCAGGTTCACAGGCACATCCCATGTCCCTGGGATCAGCCAAGGACTGCACTGTCACTCAGGCCTTTAAAGTGTTGGAGCAACTGCACAGTGCAGTAATGTAAGCACAGCCACAGGAGCCTGGGCAGAGAGGCTCAGAGTCTGCCACAGTCCAACTTTTGGGATTCCTTCCTCCCCCACAAAAGCTTCCTTCCATCATGAACAGCCACAGAACAACCTTTTCTTCACCCTTCAGCAGGAATAAACCCATCAGCAAACCGGACGCGGGAGGATGCTCAGGTGCTTCCCAGCACTGCAGGTCTCCACACAGACACCATCACTGTGGGCAGACCACAGACTGCTTCCAGCCATACCTAGAGGAGGGATCAGCAAAAGATTTCTCCCGAATTTTCAAGTAATTCTGCCACGTGCATCTGGCACCCACAGCTGGGAGGGGGCAGCCCCCTGCCGAGGGATCGCAGCCCCAGCACCAGGAGAGATGCTCTCAGGGCTGCATCCAGATTCCATGGGAGAGGAGGAGGCTTTTCCCAGTGCCTTCAGGGAGTCAGATGGGGCTGTTACTGGGTTTAAGTCTGTGCTACTTCTTTGGTCAGGAGAGCAAGAGACTTGAGCAGCTCTCTGCTGCTCTCAGATCTGCAGTGGGCAGAGGAAGCCCCCGTGTGAAATGGGGCTGGCACTGCACTCTTGCACTTTGATTCATGCCATTTTGGATGAATTTCTAAAGATGCTTTCTCAGCCTCCAATGACGTAGAATTTGGCAGAATTGTTGTTCTGGGAGGGTGGGGAAACCACAAGACCAAAGACAAACAGGTACCGTGGGGCCAGTGCCCTGGCTGCTGCTCTTTCAGCATGGCTGCTTACATTCCTTGGTAATATCAAAGAGAACTGTTAGGTTAAAACCATGGGTTTTGTCCTACAGCATGACAATACGCAGTGTTTGTATGGAGCACTTTAAAGTATCCTGAGAGGATATCTTTCTGCCAAATTAGTAATAGCATCTTCAGTCTTCACATAACCATTCTCTATACGTTTGTATGAGACTAATACAGGTAGATCAAAGGGGCCAGCCTGCAAAAATCAGAAGGAAAACATATATATTACAACTGTTACATTTCCGAATTCACAAACCTTTTCCTGGGTTATTTTTAGAAGAAAATACTTAAAATTTTATAAGAGAAGAAGAATGATTAGGCCATGATAAAAGTGCCCAATGCAATTCACAACCAAGTAATCGGATGATAAACAGATTTGCACAACCTGCAAAATGCTCCGTGAAGTCTAAAAGTGGCATCTGCCTCACTGCCCCCTGTGCCTCCCATTCTGTCCCTGTCCAGCTGCCTCCCACACCAGTATGCACCAGTGTATGGTGGTGGAGAGCACCACCTAACGTCAGTGGAGAAGGACCAACTGTGCAGGACAAATACCACATGCACTGGAGGCCCTGCAAGCCTGGCTGCTAGAGCTGCCATGCCAATCAAACTCATTTCTTTAGCAGCAGCTGTGGGTACAAAGGTAGGAGAGGCTTGCAGAACATCTGCAGCCTTCTGTTTGCAGGCGACACCACACGTTACATCCCCCCTAAAAGCGGAGTTGCGAATTCAATTGGGCACTCTTTTATTCTGCTATTGGCTTGCTACAAAGTTTAAAATCAAGTCAATTTGTAGTAGGATGCTCTTGGTGTGTGTATGTACATACAGACACCGAGACATGCCTCCGTCTGTGTGTTGACACACATAAACAAGTACACGTATTTAGTGTCAATCTATGAAGATGAATTAAAATGTACTTATTTCTATCTGACAGAACAGCATGCACCCTAGAGAAAGGGATTTTGGTACGATTCAGATGCAATACTGGAATCAGTTTAACAACTGAGATTTGAATCTTTCAGTGTAAATTTGTCAGTGTTAGCTTTCATAATCACTGTTAGCACAATCCAGACCGCATTCTCAGATTAAATTTTCTTTTAACATTAGACTAAAATATCAGTTAGATTGAAAGATTTGTTTGCATACTGCAAATATTTCAGTTTGAGAGTATCTGTACAGATACAGTATTCTGAGAGGTTGGATAGTACAACATCCCCAAATTAAAATGCATCCCAAGCATTGCATCTCCATTCCACAAGGACAAGTACCCCACACCGATAGTCAAGAGGATTACAAGAACCATGGTTTAATTGATTTGGAGGAGGTTACATTTGGTTAATTGATGCCTTTTAAAACCATCCCAACTCCTTCAGACAGGGTACCTTTACAACACATTAGACTCATCTGAGAACGTTCTTAAAAGAAGTGGTCTGACAGAAGGTCTGGCCGACAGTGAATCAGGTGCCTTCCTGCTGCTCTGCAACAGCGAGGCAAGGAGACTTATAGCACATGCAACTCTTGCCCCTGCCTATTGTCAAACAATGCAAGACACACAACCCCTTTTACAGCTAAGTCATATCATAAAGAATGATTAACAGTGGCTGGGTTTTGCAGTGCAAGAGGCACAGAGAGTATTCAGAAACCGGCCCTGCTTCCCAAAATGTTAACTTCAGGTTTGGAGGTTTATGTTTTTGAGGGAGGAGGAAAACATCCCTGATCTCCACATAAAACAGTATTTTTAAAATAGGCAGTAATAAAGGAGATCTGCAGTGAAACTAAATGCTAGGGACATGTAATCAAGGCACTTTGCTGTGGGTGGTCCCACCACTCCATCAGCAAATCCAAGACAATCCTTCTTTGTGAGAGTAGCACTAGCAGGTGGGATGGACTGGGCAAGGTGGGCACTAGGGAAGCTCCCCCCTCAGTCAGACAAGTCTGAGTCATTTGTCAAGTCATCCAGAGGACAAACAACATCAATTCCACCTTGCCCCACTCGTATCTAATCCACTAACACACAAAACTGCAGTGAGAAAAGAATGTAAACCAGCTTTGCCTGTGTCCACCTCACTTGGACATCCTGAGCACGACCAGCTCACCCACCTGATGTGCAGCAAGAGACCGAAGGGGAAGAGACAGACAAAATATTTAAGCAAGGGAAAAGCAAGGTTTTGCTGTGTGAGCAAATCTAAATGTGTGTTTTCAGGAGTTAGGCATTAGAGGGAGGAGAAAGGCAGTTGAGCAAGCAACACATAGCGACTCAGAAAGGAAATCACCTTATTCACTCCAAGAAAAGCTGTGATTGCTGGAAGTTTGAGAAAGCATGAAGATAGTGGATGTTCCTGAGGAAGGAAGGCGCTTCGTTACCTAGTTCACAACAGCACAAAAGACAGAAAATTGCAGTACAAGAAGGAGAAAGGTAGAAACCAAGGAAAACACAAATGCGCCTTGCAGTTAAAAAAAACCAAACAAAACCAAAACGAAATAAAAACAACCACCGCATTTCCACACAGAAAATTTAATAGAGGCTGAGCAGAGCTGATGCACAGTGTTACAGGAAACTCGGAGTGAAATCCTGTCCCACTGAGGTCAATAGCAACTGTCTATGGACCTGGACTTGGCTTTGGCTGCCAAGTTTGGGTTCAGGCACCTAAACAACGTCCCAAGTCTTGTTTTTCATTTAATGCTCCCCTGGGGACACTGATGTTTATTTTATTTTATTTCAATATTAAGGTCAGGATTCTCAATAAGGCCTTAATTTGAAATCATCTACCTGATCTTAGATGCCTTTACTAATCAGGCAACTGACTTTGATGTCTGATTGATGACACAGATATCCAGAGCTGGTATCTGCTTCAGGGACTTACAATAACACTCTTACTCAAAATGTACATTTAAATATGGCTCAGCCTGTGTTTAGTTTGGGATGCACATCTGAAGAAACTTTTCTAGTTGACACTTACTTTGCTTTGCTAAATGATTTCACAAGAGTCTTTGTTAAATGCATATAAAGCACTCTTGAAAGCAAGTATTGCAAGAGGAGATGGATCTTTGGTCAACAACTGAAGGCAAAAATGGGTCACCTCTCAGGTGACTTGAGCTGGGGCTTAGAAACCCCCAGGTCACCCTTCCAGGGGACTGTCCTCAAACTGTCATATGTCCACAGCTGAGAGCAACTTGCTCCCAGCTGGTTCAATAGGGGTGTCAAGCTAGAAACTATTAAATCATGTTTAAGTGGAAGAAGTTACATAGACCCTTACAAAATACAACCATAGTTCTTTTACCATCTCTATTGTTTTCAACTATAATAATGCTCCAATCCTGGAAGTGTTCAAGGCCAGGTTGGATGGGGCCCTGAGCAACCTGACCTAGTGAATGGCATCCCTGGCCTCGGCAGAGGGGTTGGTATTAGGTGATCTCTAAGGTCCCTTCCAACTCAAATCATTCTGTGATGCTATTAATGACTTGGGGGTGGGGGATTATCCTGCTGGCTGTTGGTGGGGGCTGACCCCGCACTGTGTCCCTTCAGCTGTGCCCTACTGCTGCCTAGGGACGTGCAAACCCAATGGCAAGAGGCCTGGGCTGGCTGCAACACACCATGTGCTGACCCGAGGCAGGACTTGCTGATGCTGCAGGGGGAAGAGAGGGGCTGCAGGAGAGGGAGGCACAGAGAGGGGGGAGGCACGGCCAGGGTGAGCAGGGGTTGCCCAGGAGATGGTGCTGCAGGGACACTCAGCACCTCTGGGCAAGCAGAGAGCAACGGGCAGGGGAGATCAACACGGTGAGTCATGAACCTGGCATTGCTGGCCTTCACCATTTGCAGGAGCAATGAAGAAAACTTTTAGGAGAAGGTTTCCACTTCTAAAAGGAGCCCTCCTCCTCAGCAGTGGAGGAAAGCTGTTATGAAACTAGATCACTTTCAAGGAGAGCAAACACCATGGTACAAGCCTTCAGTTATTTACGGAGGGTGGGCAAACGTGACAAGATCTGACCCTTCTCCCACTGCACCAGCACCTGAGGACATACCCAAGGAGAACATCCTGGCTGTGTTTTTTGATATAAAAACAGGTAGGGTTTTTTTCAGGTGGGTTTGATGATCAGTTCAGGGTGGACAAGGGTTACTGTACTTCTATAAGAGACAGCACGATTCCACCCAGCGAAGGCAACTAAGGAAAGGCACAGGTTGAGTCTCTCTTCACTACAGATCTAGGTAGTATTTTTAGATTAACTTCTTGCCATTTTTGGCAAGACAAGACTCCAGAAAGCCTTCCTTGAGATGTGAGTGGTATGTGGTACTGTTACAGGTTGATCTGGTGCTTAAGAAAGGTCTTCCTAAAAATACAGTGGAATACATCATCTTGTTCCTTACCTGATGATTTTTCTCTTTTATATTTTTTAAAACTATTAGAAGAATTTCTGGGAAAAGGCTGATAAAGATCAGGAGAATTATTGCCAGCCATGTGGAAACAGAAGTCAGCATATGAGCAAATACAAAATACATTCTTTGCTGCTTCAAGAAAGGCCTGAAAAAGAAAGGACACAAATAAATTCTGGTTAACACAGATTTTCCAAGAAGGTCAGAATCAAAGGAAACTTCAGATCAAACTATCAGCAGTTACGCCTCCCTTTCAGATGGATATGGACACAGGTACCACAAAAACACACTGTCTATCCTTGCCCCAATCTATCTCCTGCCTTCAACTGCGCTAATTCTAGAGGATTGTCATGATTCATTTTGCATCTTCTGCATCTGTGGGGAGGGGTTTGAATTTTGCCACTATCACTGAAAGATAAATTATTCACCTTATCAAAACCCAGATCATTTTATTTCAATTTCGGGCTTTGCTATAGCTTCTGGTTTGGTTTTGATGGTGGAAATCCAGTGCCTCTCAATCACAGCAGGTTATTTGCACCTTCCTCCCTTCCTTGATGAGGGAGAGCAACTGACAGATGCTTGTGAAAAACACCTCTTAAATAAACGATGACAAGGATCCCAAAGAAGTTGTTGCTTACTGTTAAGTCAAAAATATTGAGGTATGCAAGTTAAACAGTAGAAAGAGCTTTTAGTAGAAAACTCACACATTTCACTACAGATACGTGGCTAGATTGCAGATCTGGATCTGTTGGTTAGCAACACTGAAGAGTCAAACAAAGTTTTTAATTCTCAATTAAAATACTTAAATCAGTTCCACATCTTCATTAACAGGTTGCTGGATCAAGGATCTAGCCAATAGACCATGGCACAAGCCCATGGGAAAGCAAAGGCGTAAAATGGGGGACACTGTCTACTGTGAATGTCAACTGAACATTTACTCCAGCACATGAAATAGAAAACTAGTAATGTTTGTAATGCACTATTGTTTGCCTGCTTTTGCAACATATTAAGCCTAAAATCCTGGTTGCACTCAAATCAATGAGAATTTCTTCTCCTATTCAGATCCAGGATTTCAGCAGCAGGATCTGTGATTTCTCCTGTTTATTTCTCCTTCTTAAGCTGTCCCAGAGGGCCAGGTCCTCTTGCTCCACATCTGCCTCATCTGTTCCTTCCTTCCGTTTCACCGGATTTCTTTGCACCATGAATTTTTCCTGTCTTTCTCATCCACGTGCACAAACAGATCCTAAAATGTTTACTCTAGAACCTCCCAATGAAGACAAGAGCCTTAGCAACAGAAATGACCCTGAGCAGGAAAGCAAATCACCTTCTGCCAAAGTTGAGCACCTGGATGGCGACCACGGCATTATCTCTTTCAGGCTATTCCCTTTGGTGGGTTGAGATATCTCCTCAAACACATTTCATGATGCAAGAGCCCTCTTCCAGCACTGGCCTTCAGAGGGTGTTGGATGGAGGTATCCACCCTTCCTTCCTCAGGAGGGAAAGGAGCATGATTGCACATACCTTGCCATCTGTAAACCTCTGGACATCCCAACGGAGGGGATGCTGCAGCCACGTCCCCCGCAAAGCCAGCACTGGGCATTTCCCTACGAAAGCACCATGGAAAGAAGATATACTTGCCAAATGACTCCTCCCCAAAAGAATGAGAAAAACACGTAGAAGGCAAGGGATCCCCAAATCACAAAGTGGTTCATCCACGTCCAGAATCGGGTATCTAACGCTAGCTGTGTGAATAAAAAGAGAGATAGAACAGGCTTTAGATGCAGAGTGTATTTGATTGGATTTATATGACATTTCAGACTGGTTTCACATTAAGGCTGAAGGTTCTCCAAACAGCTACCTCTGTGCATATGGACGCCAGGCAAAACATTTTCAATATCCACAGGCTGGTACAGAGACAACAGGGAAACAGCAAGGTTCTAATTGTAACTGACACTTTTTAATAGAATAAATTTGATGCAACCTCTGATGCTACAGGAAATAAATGTCTAAAGGTTACAGGGATTGTAATTGCCTCTCGTCACCACCTGCTGTCTGAATCAAACACAAAAGACCTTTTGTAAGGTCTTATGCAAACAGTTTGTTCTGGAAAGCTCCATGAGACAAAGCAGATTTGCTATTGTTATTCGACATGGGCTTTTCTGATTGCTGCAGCACTCAGCCTTGTCTCAAACAAGGTGGACAAGCTCAAATTCTCTACTGTTCCTCTTCTCTTGCCAGAACTGAACACCAAGGGGTGAAAGTGTGGGGAAAAGTCAACTATAACCAACTGGAGTTCTCAAAAGAGGGAGAAAGTAGAAAAATAATTTAACCAAAACATAAACACTTAAAGACCACAGACTACACAAAGGACAATAAGCAAGTTCTGCCTCTATGGAAGAAGAGAAGATTTAAGTGTGGGGGGAAAACACATTCAAAGAAACTTAATTTTCAATACATTCACGATTTTACGGCACATACACAAGCCTTGGAAAACATCTGCAATGAGTGACTGGAAAAGGAAGGAAGATCCTCACCTTCAGAGTGACGGTGAACACCAGCACAGTAAAAACAATCGTCCCAAAGGTCCAGTTCCCAAAAATCTGAAAAACACGTTACATTGCCACAGGTGTCTCGGTCCATCTCCTTGGAGAGGCACAGAGACGACGATGAGGACAGGGGTGCAAGCAGGGACCGGAGGGGAAGGGTGGGATGGAACGACTGCTACGGGGGACTGATGCTCGGAAGATTCGTCGGCCACTACGCTACCCTGTGCCATGCAGTGCCACACAGATGGGTGACCCAGAGCTGGGACAGTGACAGGAACAACCTCCTACTAACAGCAATGTCAGTCGAGGATACAAGTCATTGGACCACCTGCTTTTCATGATTTCTTGGCAATTTACTCAGTTTCTGCTTTCTTGCAACAACCATCATCTCTTTGTAGTCCCATTTGCAGAATGCACCAATGGGTGTTTTTCCACCTGGTTTGGTTCGGAGATACTAGTGACTATGCACACAAAGAAAAGCAGATACTGTATAGAAATCCAAATGATGGCAATGAATGGGAGGGATGCTTACCAAAGGCTGTCAAGATCTGAATGCATACATTAAAACAGAAAGTGAAATGTAAAAGTTTTCAAAAAATGCAAAAAACCCAAAGTCAATAGGAGCGAAAAAGGAATCAAACATACATGGATATTATGAACAATTGCTGGTAGCAGTTCTTACAGGCATAAGTGTTTACAGAACAGGACATAACCACAGATCTTATTTTAGTGCCACATAGACTTGACCTCTTAAGGCAGTTGTAGAACATATCACTGCTTCATGTTTTATTCAAATACAACCAGAATGGCTATAAATACAGAAAAACACTGATTTGACAATACAGGGGTTTGACTACATATAGCTGGGGCCATAAATGTTGGCATTGATGCAATGCATGAATACACATACATAAATTTCATCAGCTTTTCTCCAAGTGTTAGCCGCTAAAAAAAGTTAGGTATTTTCAAGGGTAAAATACCCTTGGTGTAAAGAAGTTTTCCACCAATTGAGATCTGATAATATGCTGCACACTCCCTTGGGGAAAAGGTCCTGAGACAGCTCAGGTCACCACAAGTGGGAGCCTCCCTGCACTAATGCTTTGCTCTGTACTCGATTAACCAGCAAAACAAAAAGAAATAAGAAAAAAAATAAAGAAAACCCCTCAATCTTTTTTTCCTCCTCTTTCTGTGCAAGTTAACCCAGAGCAGCTCCCACACCTCGTTCACGCAGCGATGCAAGTGCTTGTCCCGACACCAGAGGCACGAGCAAGCAGGGACAACAGGACAACAGTCTGCTCATTCTGCAGCAGTGATGACTTCTGCTGGCTCCAAAACAGCAGCAATAGCCCAGCACCAGCCTTCCCCCAAGGCAAAGAGAAATGGGAGGCTGAAATCACGCCCCAGAGCAGGCACAGTGCACAAGCAGCCCTACACCATGTCTGTGCTAACAAGCAGCATCTCATCAAGGTGGGCTAATTCAGCTGCCTGTAACCAGCCAAGCACATGCTGAATTTCAGGCAGTCACTGGTGAGAAGGACAGACACTGCTCCTGCCCTGGCTCAGCTCCTGGGATCAGACAGGAGAGGGGATGAGCACAGTGTAAAGCTCGCTGGGTAGGCAGAAAGCTGTGTGTAAGACTAGTCATTTTACCTAGTGAGTATAACCAGCTCTGCCCTGTTTCCATGGCGATTTGGAAAATGTTTTATTTCAAGCATTTGCTGCAGAATCACACCATAAGCAAGGCTACACTGTTGGACAAGACTCGAGACACACTGCACAGATTAAGCGCGTAGATATTCCCTGCCAGGCGTATCAAAGAGGCAGTGCACAAAAGAAACACTAATCTTCCTTTTTTTTTGGTGGCGTTACCTTTCCGTTATCTTCCAACGATGAATTCTGAAACAGAAAATAAACCCCAAAGAAAAACACGAGTCCTTCAAAAGCGCCCAGAAAGGTCCAGTACAGGAACGGCCTCCACTGCAGCATTGCATTATCTGAAACCTTCCTGCCAAGAGATGGAGCAAGAAGACCATCACCATCACATTTAGGAAGCACGGCAAAGCTCCCTGCAGGCAGGTGATCAGTGAGCTTTGGAGCAACCCCTTGCTGTACGAGGCAAGGAAGTACCCACATAAATACCAGCCAGTGTACAGGACATAAAGAACATTTGCTATATGCAGCTGCTGATCATGAGAAATCACAAGAAGTTCAGCACATGAATTGTTTTGTTCTTCTCCTCTAGGTAGCTTGGATGAAAAGCCAAGTCAGCCCAAAGCCAACAGATGTAACACTGTCCTGAGCCTCTCCTGCAGTCCCCGTATCATCCATGGTATCTGATATTAAATGATAAATTTTTAAATCAGGGTAAGGCTAACGAGCACCCATATGGGAAGCATCAAATCTGTGATGTGTTTCCCTCTTTTTGTAGATGCACAAGCTCTCCTTTTTTGAGAAAAGCTCTGCAAGTCCTGTTCCTAAAATGGTGTTTTCTGCACAGACTGAAAATAACCTCCTGAATTGTATGGTGGGTGTTTTTATCGCAGGGGTTGTAGCAAGAGGCTCTTGGCTGAATATAGGATGAGATCTGTCATGGAGGCAGCAGCAGGAAATAGATGGGCCATGAGGAAAGCTCTGCACGGACCACACGCAGGGCCTGGGGAACAGAGGGTGGCTATCAGGACATGAGGGAGTTAAACAGTTCCCTGCATCATTGTCTTTTCAGATTACTTTCTTTAAAATTTGAAGAATGATGGGGGAAAAAATCACTTTTATGTCAGAAGCAAAAATCCCTGTTCTTATCTAATTTTTCTTCCTAACTCTTAAAGCAATACATTCATTTTCAGCAAGATGCACCTTGCAAACTGTTGTGGTGTTGGACTCCTGTAACTGCAGTTTCTAAAGCAAAACCCTACTGAATCCTATGCATGATGATACAGTGACAATTGTGGTATGCTCTAACATACCATAATTTGGCTATGAGAGAGGAGCAAGGATAAACCAGACTGGGAGGAGGGTTTATTGCAAGGGCCAAAAATACAACCAGCTTCCTCCCTGTGAGCTCTGTTTTGCATTTCCATTTATGTCCTGCAGCTCTCATCGTAAACAGGCTTTTTACAGCGCCTCAGACTCGAGATCTGCACTGCAGCAGCTCAGCACTTCATACAGCAGTGGCACAGAGGGCGTTCTGCATTCAGCAGCACATGCACAGTCATGAATATTCAAACTAAAGCTGTTTTCCCTCAACAGGCAGACCCCAGAGATCAGAGAGCCCACCAGGCGAAGGCACAGGGGCCTGCTGTTATTGCTCTCTGTTGCACAATATTCAATTACCAATTTATTTAAAAATACATGTGGTGGCATTTTGCCATAAGAGCAGAGGAACATACAGGTCTAATTAATCATTGCTCTGAGTGCTTACTTTAAAAACGCCCAAGCCCCTTCCCAGCCTTACAGCTCTTGTTGTATTTGCTGATTTTTCTCTACCTAATGTAATTTTCATGCAGTATTTTAGGCACCTGCTAATTCCCTCTGCTGTCTCTGCACAGGCATCACTCTTGGTTAGAGCATGGCCGTGCCACACATGGCCCCTCCATGCCTGAGAAGCATCATACAGGGTGTGACAGGGGTGACAGGGCTTGCACAGGACACTGACCAAAGCAACCCTGACCTGGTCTCTCTGCACGGGGTTGAGCTTACTGCTAGGCAGGGGAATTAGCAACAGCGATGCATGAACAGGGGCTCCCTCAAAAAACCCCAGATCTTTCCTTAGTCCTTGCTGAAGGGCTGCACACAAGTGCCTGTGCGTGGGCAGAGGTGGGAGGAAGATGGGACGTATCTCTGTTTCTGTGGGAGGTTGGAGCCTCTCCCTGTTGCAACGAAGGAAGGAGAGTAAACAAACAGCAAAGCAGAGAGAGACAGTCTAAACTGTCCTTTCCCTGGGCAATGTGGCAGAAAACCACACTGAGCATGTGGATCAATGAGCAGAGCTCTCTGATAATACGGTTCTGATACGGGGACTTGGCCTGTGGAGGGGAAGCCTGGGGGACCATATCCATTTAGACAAGCTGAGTAGCTACCTGCCTGAGCTGGGTTTCAGAAACATTAACCTTTCTGAAAATTAATGGATGTCTTTTCCTCCTGAAAGCCAGATCTCCCCTCCATCCACTACACGCTCTATCACGTGCTTGGCTCACGCTGCCTGGCTCAAAGGTAATGTGAAAGAATGATCACTCACAGCTCAATTTGTCTTGCGGATGGAGAATTCTCTTATTCTTTTTTAGAGACACACTGCTGCAATTTGCTAGATCAGATACTGTCAGAAGAGCATAAACAAGTAGAAATAGGTGGTAACTGGGACGCTGCCCAGCTCAAATGCAGAAGCAGCAAAGCCAGCAGGGACAGAAATGGCCTTTTCTGCAGTTCATGGTGACTCCATCGCTGACATGGGACAGGGACACCTGTTTACACTCCTGCACCAACAAAACTTAAACCATGGGTAACCAAGTTGTGTGGAGGCTTACCCAGTCCAGTGCTACTTACATGTACAGCTGAGGATCCGAGGTCAGCGTGTCGATGCTGATGTGCTGCTCCAGGAGGCTGTAAGCCAGGATAGGTAGCGATGTGAAGCAGATGTTGTACATGGTCAGATAAGCAGCATCATACAGTGGCTTAAAAGAAGAAGAAAGGGTAAAATGAGACACACAGAAGTGCCACTTTAAGTCTCTCCGTAAAGAAATTAAATGTTTCCAGCCCTTATCTCCTGCATACCCTACAGATTCATCCCTTTGTCACAGCCACATAGGACAGCTTCATTTAACAGAATGCTCATGCTCCATGCAATGCAAGAGGGAACAAGGCACTCACAGGCTGCGTGGCCAGGAACCTGCTCCTACTGACAGGAAGTTTTGTAACTGGTTGGTCTCATCTCCAGCACATTCTCCAGAAACACATGACTAAACAGTCCTTATCACAGCTTTTCTGTTGCTGCTCTTGTGTTGCCATTTCTGTTAATATACTTGATGCCTTCTGTGGCTCTCTAAAGACTAGACTGTTTTAGAGGAACTATAGCTCCTTTTTTTAAAACAAGGAAAAGGCAAGTGGTTTTGCCAAGGCAAGCAGAGAATTATCTCATATCATCTACTCTTCCTCAGCATTACTTTTGAGCCCAAATAGACACAAAAGCCAAAGTTTTTGTCTCCAAGCACATGAACCCACTCACCAGATGAATGTGTCCCTCTGACACTCACTTGGACTAAGCAAGGCTCTGATGACACTGTGTCTTTTTTTAAAGCTGCCATAAAAGAAGGAACTGTTCTTCCTTTTGAGTGACATTTTTAACACAAGGAAACGCAGCAGAGGAGACAAGACCAGGAAGCCCTTGAAAACTTGTTCTCTTAAGAGAAGCAGAAGTAGCAAAATCGGGTGCTGACAAAACAGCTAAACCCCTCTCTCATTACTTCAGGAAGGCATCCAACTTTGTTTATGGCTGGTGGATGGGAAAGGAAAGAAAGCAGGTTTCCTCCTTTTCAGTCATGGGTCTCACAATATTATGTTCCAGATATGGTGCTGAGCACCAAGGTCAGTTCCTACTGTCCTGTAGAGCAAGGTGATGAAGGGACAGGATGCCAAAAGCCAAGTGTCTGCTAGGAAGGCTCATTATGCCACTTGCTTTTTATCCTACCTTTATAGACAAATTACTGAAAATTACCTGCTGTGAGAATCCACAGAAGAACTGGTATAAAAATTGCGGTAAAATGAAGCAAAGGTTCTATGGAAACAAAACACAAATGATCAGCAGGGAAGCACTTGACTTCTCAATCTAAATCCAAGTAGTTTTTCCTGTTATCAGACATTTTTGTCTGATATTACAACATCAGACAAGGCAGGGCACTTGTTCTACCAAGCACAAAACTAATCTAGTGAGCAGCTAGCATCTGCAGAAGACACTGGAAGAAAGTCATGCTCATATTCCCTTCTAAGCCCTGTTTTCAATGGACAGGCACATGGCAGACACAGCCTGTTCTAGGGAAGGAAAACAGAGCTACAGAATATCCTATTTTTTCCCTGATAATTATTTTATTCTATTCCCAAGAAATGCAATAGTATAAACAAAGAAATAAGCTACACCCCCCCCCCTTACCTTATAGAAGAAATACTGTACAAGGTGTGCTATTCTCACATAATATAAATGCCCATGTGCTAGTAGCAGTTTTCTTAAATGTTTAAACTTTGGCACAGCATAGTCGCTGTTTCTGGAAGCCTGCCGTCCTTCTTTGCCTTTTATACCTGGAGACAGAAGCATGGCAAGGAGTTAATCCCTAAGGGGCTGGAATCTGGATGCTACCCACTAGGTTTGCTCACATCACTCAGTGTCTCAAGGCGTGACAAAGGCTGTGTTTCCCTGAGCGTCCCAGGAGACCAAAATACTAACATGCTTGCCATGGTGTGGTTTTGGCTCCACAACACTCAGACCTGCCTCTGGAGTTTTTCAGCTATATTTAGGCTGCTGTCTGATTTCCTGTGTAAGAGCGTGGTGAAGAGTATCTAAGCAAATCTGATAAAAGATAAGGAACTGGTTTCCCCACGGGCTCGCCCACATCTCACACAGCAGAGTTATTTCACTGCAGATGCTCAGCCTCCTGAGACATCCCCACAGAGAAGGGCTAAGGACACACAGGGTTTTTTCACTCAAAAGCCACAGTCAAACAAACTGCACTGGACCCTATTCATTAGAGGGCACCACAGCATTTCCAACAGCCCCAATTAAAGAGCCTGCCCTTTCTCTTCCACTGATGCTTCTTTAGTGGCATTACAAAAATCTCATGTATCTCTGACACCAACCAGCAGACAGGAGGAAAAATGTGCAGGTCTCCAGTGCTGTTACTGAGTTACTGTGACTAGTTAATGCTAAAGTCTGATACTTCCATGGCACTGACTTTGCAACAACTCCCACTAATCACCCATCAGTTTGCTGCCTGTGCCTTTGTTTTCGGAGCCCCAAGCAACCCTTACCACCACAAATTTGGCCATAGAGTTTTTGAACATAATCTGCAGGACATCACTGATGAAGAGAATGGTACTATTACAGCTGAGCAGCACATGATGATCTCATCTCTCTCTCATTTTACAGTGGAGGTGGTAAAACATTGGCACAAGTTGTCCAAAGAGGTGGTGGATGCCCCATTCCTGGGAAGATTCAAGGTCAGGTTGGACAGGACTGAGTAACTTGAACTAGTGAAGATGCCCCTGGTCACTACAGGGGTTGGACTAGATGGCCTTTAAAGGTCCCTTCCAACTCAAACTATTCTATGATCTCAAGCACTGATCTGAAGTCAAGCCCTGGCTCCAAAGAAAGCAACAGTAGAGTTTCCACATTTTTCAGTAGGATAAGTTTAGCCATGTGCAATCAGAAACACTGACTGTACCTCAACAGTGAACCCCTGCAAGAGCAGACAGGTCTTGGGTATGAGATGTGTGTTATCAGGAGGGCTTACCTATTCCAACGTGTGCTTCCAAAATCATACTAACATCATTTGCACCATCCCCTATGGAGAGGGTTATGGGGCTTCCTTTTGTGTTCTTCACCATTCGCACAATCTAAAATATTTAAAAAAAGGATAGCAGCAGAACCCAAAATTCAGTTAAAAAGCCTCCAGAGATCTTCCCACCATCCCACTTGCAAAAAAGCCCCCCGCCAAGAAAAGCAACCAGGCTTCTACAGCAGCAATGGAATACCTGGAGAGTTCAGGTTAATAAAACCCTCGTTCAGAGTTCAGGTTAATAAAAATAAAAAAAGGGGAAGTAACCCCTTGTTAATTTCTTTGCAGTCACAATTAGAGCAAAAGCCCACATCCAGCTGCACAGGGCTGAAGGACAGTATTTAAAAACAAACACAAGCAGCAGCATCCTGCTCTTCCCCTCTGCCAGACCCTGCTGTCCCAAAGGTGGGACCTCTCACGTCTCTCAGGGTGCAGAAACACACCACTTATCAGGCTGGGACATCCATCATCTACTGTCATGAGGAAGTTATGGACTTTATCTGACAAATTCAGAAAGGAAAAATAAGAGCAAACAGGGGGGTTTGTTTATTTCTAATTGCCCTGGGTTAGTGGCTTCCTGTGAGCATATTAAACAAAGGGTCTGCGTTCAGATTTGAAAGAATGGTGCGTTTTCATCACGCTCTGAAGCTCAGACAAGGCTTATACACAGCCTGGAGAAGTCCTGGTTGATTAAGATGATCAGGTCAAGTCCCAGCTGATGAATTCAAAGTGCGTCACATCATCTAATGACGAGCTTCAGTCAGTTAGAAGTAAATACCTGTGCTTTCTGCAAAGGAGCCATCCGGCAGCAGAGGACTGCAGTGCACTTCAAGCAGATTTGTAGAAATATGTTTTTGTAATTGCTAGAACCAGAGTCCTGAGAAGGGTTGAGTATCAGAGACAGCGTCGAGCCATCTATAATCAGTCCGTACTCTTGACTCAACGTCCAGCTTCTGGGGCACAAGGAACACGTTTGAAACAAAATCAGACTAAGAAGTCAATCTAGCTGCTTGTATCATCTTAGTGAAAAAGAAATTGCTTTTGTATTAATCTTCTTTTCATCCATTCTTGAGGGCTTAGCAATCTTAAAAAGCTTGGATTTAACATGCACCCTTCTCTAAAGGAACTGTGTATGTAATTTCAAAAGTAACTAATATTAGAGATGATGAGCAAAGCAAAGGAGCCAGCTCCAGTGTCTGCAAGTAGCCAGTCCCCAGGGCCACAAGGTCCTATTTCTCCATCAAATTTGCATCTGAAATTCACTACGGCTGAGTCCTCTTGCTCACTTACCTCTTCAGGCCTCCCCGGCTTTTGGGAACATCCTGAATCAGCTTTTTATGGTACTCCATCAGCAGCTCATGGAGCCGATCCTCCTTCCTTTCACTCTCACCCACAGTCCTTGCTGTTAGCTCCAGCAGCTCGGTGCTGGTCTGGAAGAGCCTGCAGGCGTAGCAGGTGGATTTGGCAGTTTCCATCTTGTCTCCTGTCAGCACCCAAACCTTCATGCCAGCTGCGTGCAGAGCTTCGATCGTCTCTGCCAACTGCTCCTGCAGCCTGCAAGCACAAGGGAAACATCACTCCTCAGGTTGGCCTGCACCTAATCCACATAACCCTGATTCTGCAGGTAGGAAATACCAGCTCAAGAGAAGTTAATTGATTTTGCCCATGATGGGGAGATCGCTGCCACAGGAATAAGGATTAGAAATCAGCAATCCCAAGTTTTTGTCTGCAGGCAAAAAGAGAAATCACTGTGTTTTACTCTTGACTCTTAGGTCTCACAGTAAGAGTTTAATTCACACTTGCAGTTACTATAACTGCATGTGGAACTGAATTTGTTTTGATGTGCAAATTAATGCTGTGTGCTTAATTCACACTCTAGAAGTACAAGTATTTCTGTAGTTTTATTAATAAATCCCAATTTCTGCTACACCAGCCAATTTTAGCAACTAGGGCACTGTGAAATGGGCTGTGCCATGGTGTAATTCATTGCCCTGGACACTGCTAGCATCTGCCTGGCTGCTCAGTTCCACCACAGCGAGTCAGGGCCACAATGCAACATCACAGAGACACCACAGGTACTACAGTGCTGGTGGTGGGGTCACCTCTTTACCTGTCTTCTACAGCAGTAGCCCCAATCAGGTGCATGTCTGCTTCTGTGTCATCAAAAACCTTGGCCATCTTCTCCTCCCTGTCCTGCAGAGCCATCTTAGCTTCATTGAGCTGTCTGTCAATTTTGTCATACTCCTTCTGAGTTAATTCTTTGAAGGCCACGCAGAGCGTTCGATAGCCATCCTGGCGTGGAAAGGGAAAGAAAACAAAGTGGACAAGTGCCTTAAAACTAGATTCTCTACAGCTCCTCACTTAAGGGTTAATGCTTTTGTCCACCGTCAGTGCTTCTGGCAGTACTGACCCTGAGGGCAAGGACAATTTGCTGGTTTGAGTCAAAAGAGAGATTTTCTCAGTGTCTATACAGTAACTTCATCCCCACAGACTAATCGTGGTTCTGCTTATCATGTGCAGGGCATAGGGCAGAGAGAAATTAAGAGAAGGACCAGAGCTGAGAGTGTGCACCCGGCAGGGAGAGCAGGGACCAGGTGCCACCACGACTGGAACCAGGCACTTCTCCCACTGGACTAAACAGCCTGTTGTTGTTACTTCTATTTTTAACTTGCCTGGGAGATGCTTGGACACAACTGTGATGGAGACCATATAAGTATATCAAATAAAGGTGGAAGCCAATGAAACAGAAAAGGAAAGAAGTCTAGCATCAAAACAATGTCAAGTGACACTCAGATTTTCAACACTTCCCTCCAAAGCAAGGTCACATCCCTATTTTTGGAATAAAGCTTTCCTGATCCCAGGAGCCAGCCAAATTCCATCCGTGTGCTCACCATAGCATTGCGGTCCACATGGACTTTTGTTTGTTGGATTTCTTCTTGCTGCACCCTTGGAAAAATAGAGGAGTCTGCTCCTTTACAGAAGAGAAGTAACTTTCCTATAAGGAAATCATAAATAGTTTATAGCATTCATAAGCTGTAGAAAAATTTAACAACGTCAATAGTGAGCAAGTGATGCTGAGGGAGAAAATCTGGCAGGACTAAAGAAGGAACTGCTAGAAGCCCAGTTGACTACCAAAAGTGGCCTTACACTAGCCTGTGTAAAATCTTGTTTGACCCCAAGCTGGGACATCAGGTGTCCCTACCTGCTTCTAAGCAACCTTCCTGTAGCAGGCTGGACAAAGCAGTTTATTTTTTCCTATTTAGAAGCCTTGGTAACCTTACCAGGGAGGGTAAAACCAGCATCCCATACCTTACAGGACTGACACTCGAGAAGGATGGCAACCTCTGAATTTTTGTCTGTTATCCCCATGAAACCCCATCCCACTCAGGGGACATTCTCACATCTCTCTCTCTGTACTTGTTCCAGCCTGGAACAAGGCAGGCAGGAAGCTCTCCATGGGTCACTGTTCCCTCCCCTGATCTGGTGCTGGGTCCCAAATGGCTGCTATGGAGGAAAATTAACTCTATCCCAACCAGAACCGGCACAGAATTTAGTTAGATCACCTGAGAAAACTAAAAGCTCAGTCTCTCTAGATTACAGGAATAAGAAGAATGTGTTTTATATTCGTGCACATAGTACGAGAGTCCACAAATGCACTTGGATTGTACCTGCGGTGGTTCTCACAATGACACTCATACGGCGACGGACAGGGTCAAAGTTCAACACGTGGAGAAGTTGGTACCTTAAAAAAAAAAAAAAGCTTTGACTCAGTAAAAGAAAACCAGAAAAATAACTATTTGAGACAGAAAATCACTAACAATGAGCTGCAGAAATCAATACACTCTACAAGAGGCATCACCCGCTGGGGAATGTACTTTTTACAGCTACTGCACATGAAAATGGAGAAAAAAACCTGAACTCCAGTGGTGCTCTGAGCATAGGGCTGAGGGTGTGGGTGCCACCACTGTGCCAAGTCCCCAGGGTGGGCAGAGGCTCAGCAGTGGTAGAACCACATGGCACAGGCAGCAACACTGACTCTGCCAATTAAGTAAGAAGTTTCACCGCAAAGGAAGCAAGAAGTGAAACTTGCTTGTGAAGGCAAGTTCTCAGGGAGCACTGGGATTAGGTCAGTGACTCTCAGGTATCCACCAAGCTGTGAGCACAGGGTAAAATCTAACTATTTTCAGCTTGGGAGGGGAAAAAAGGTTACAGGGAAGGGAGATGTATCATATATTTAGGCTTACAGTATCCTGCTGTGAGACCCAGCCACTGTCCATAAGGTCAGCAGCCACCCGGTAAATACCAGGAACCATCTGCATGGCTGGGCATGGATGAAGGATACACGCAAAGGTCTGTAGGCACTTAAGGGACCTGAATTTAGACATCAGTAAACCACCCGTGGATTTTTGTAAGTGAGCCTTTCAGCCTGCACCTCGCTGTGCTGTGCTTTGTAAAGAGGACAGGACTTTTCAGGCAGGTCAGCGTGGCCTGACAGCCCTCAAGGAACAGCTTTGACCTTGCCAGGTTGACCAAACTCGCTTAAGCCATTTGGGAGCGGCGCAGAAGAGCAGCCTTGTTCCTCGGCAGCCCCAGCAGCACTTACATCTCAGTTTCATTCTTTTGGTTTCGTATTTTCATGAAATCATTTTCAAGTCCTAGAAAAGTGAAACCATACCTGTCAATAAACAAAAGGACAGAACAACATTGAAAACACCCATTGGCACATATTATGCATTAAAAACGTTCTCGTTTCGCCTTCTGAACTGCAGAGGAGAGTAAAGAAGTCAGTGAGCCCGAGCTAAAGAGCATGGCTGGATGTTTGCTTACTGCCTGCACAGCCTGCTATGATGTTCTGGCACTGCTCCCATCACCTGGAGAGCTTGGGCACTGGAGCACAGAGACATCAAGAGCCTCTGGACATGGTCCACTCGGTCTCTGGCAGATTTACAAGCCATGAGCAAGTATATACAGCTGCAACAGCCTCATCTAAAACCTAGGGCCTGGCAATAGCATCGAATCCCTGAATGGGTTGGGTTGGAGAGTATCTTACAGATCATCTAGTCCCAACCCTCTGTTCACTAGTCCAGGTTGCTCAAAGCCCCATCCAGCCTGGCCTTGAGCATCTCTGGCAGGACACAAATGTGGGGTTGACAAAAGTAACCCACCCTATGGTTTGCCACTGCACACCAAGGAAACAATTTTGCTGCAATATGCAAATGGTAACTGGTCTCTGTTTCGTGGGGATTAAACTACAAGGTCATGAAGGCTCCAGCAAAGGAGGGAATTGAAAACCCAACATCTTCAAATTCTTACTTTTCTGCGCCTTTCACCAAAGCGATTTCATCTGGGGAAGAGGAGATGTAGGTGTATTTGCGTTCTGGGTGTCCTATCAGCCCATCCACCTGGTCTGCTTCCTTGATCTGAACCGTGTGGCACAGGCAGAGGGCCCGCAGGAACAGCTCCTCACGGCTCTAGGCAGAAATGAGGTAGGGCTTGTTACCAGCCCACCTTGCAGTACTTGGTTGTGATTTTTGTGTACACATATATAAAACCCAAAAAACTCCAAACCCTACACTCCCTCCCAGCTTCCGTTGTATTCACCCAGCCAGGAGCTGACCACTAAACCCTAACAGCCACCAATATGCACACTTCTTACCTTTTCTGCCTTGCCATAGTATTTTGGGAGTCCATCAGTCTGAGAGAAGCCATCCACCTCCGACATGCAGTCTTTGTACTTGTGCCCATCTATGCAGCACTCGATGAACTCCATGCTGTTCTCTGTCAGGGTGCCGGTTTTGTCCGTGAAGACGTACTCCACCTGGAAGCAAGCAGGCAGGCTGTCTCACTGCATCTCCAGCCCCAGCTGTTGGGGATGGAGCCTTGCCAGAAAAAGAGGCCGGGGCATTTCACTGCATCTCTGCCAGTGCTGGAGAGTAGTACTTTGCTGCTATCCTAACCTGACCCTGCAGAAAAGATGCAGGTGCCCCATTTCATCACTGTGTAGTTCTTCTACTTTGCTCCTTAGAGCAGTTCCTTTGTTTTTCAGCCTGTTTCATGGGTGGCAGGAGGCAGCTTCTGAAGATTTAAAAATCTGTTTCCAGGCTCTTCACTTTCCCCTCATCCTCTTTCTTGGGTACTTTGCTATAGCTCCTTGTGCTTATAGAACTGCTACTGCAGGTCTACTGCCTCCTTTGGGGGATTTTCATCTTGGTGCTGTGTTGCAATTAGTTAATCGCTACTTCAAATGTATTTTTACTGTTTTTTAAAGCAAAATTAAAAGCAGGAAGCACTACACATGCCCTCCATTCAGTCTCTCCTGGTGCAGATAAGAAAGGGAAGCCTAAGCTGCCTAGGTGCCCCAGCAGCAGAGCAGCTGCAAGTGCTCTGCATGCCCAGGGAGATGACTGGGCAGACATTTTCGTTAATCCTCAAAGAGACAGAGGATTTTTAATTTTTAATTGAAGCAGTGAAAGCAAACCACCCTGACACGCAGAGTGCTGCGCCTGATATTCCCCAATATGGAAACAATTGGCGTGACCCAATTCCTGCTCTTTCATGCACTATTTATATCCTTATCCGTTTCGCAGAGCGAGGGGGAATCACATTAAATGGAAAGTGCCACCAAAGCGGGTGAAGCTCTGCCCTGAGGGGACCACAACAAGGGTTCCTAGCAGGGGGGACATTTTCACCCACGCTTTCATCCAAGCAGATGCAAACAGAGCGTGTTCTGACCTGCCCGAGCTCTTCGTTCAGGTCTGAGGTGTTCACCAACGCTCCCTCTTTTATTTCTTCGTCGTACATCTCCTTGTCCCAAGAGATGAAGAAGGAGCCCAAGAACTTCTGCATCTCTACTGTAACATACATGGAGACTGGGATAATAAAATTGAAGAGAACCATAAATGACAGGAAGTCGGTGAACATCCGCAAGACCTACAAAGGAAAGAGAAGATTTGGTCTGTGTCCATCAGGAGTAACTCAAGGCCAGTTTACAGCAACACCTCGGGGATTTTAGACAGCTTTTCTTCTAAGGTTAAACAGAAAAAAAAACAACCCAAAAATGAACACAGCTAAGATACAGGGCTAAATCCCATTTTCCTTTGACACAAAAATAAAAGAAAGCTCCATAGTGACCAAAACAATGTTTTATCCAAGCATATTCCTCTTAACAGCATACTGCTGCAGGCCCATCCCAATCCCAAGTAACTGGAAGCAAGGAGCAGGTGTCTTGAGACTAGTCAAGTTATGGCAAGGGTACAACTGATTCAGTGACATCCCTGTAAGTCCTGCTCAATAACCCATCAAATAACAGACCTCTACACACTTGCACTCTCTCTTTCAGGCTTGACTGCCCACGTCTCGGCAAGTTTAAGAAACTGGTTGATGTGGCCTCAATTTAAGTTTACCTATTCAAAGCTGAAAGATAGCTCCAGTTCAGATAAGGACCCAGATTAAATCAGCTGCACTTCTATATTATATAGTATTTATTTATGCCTTGCCCTGCTCCACAGAAATATCACCGTGCACAAGCACGAAAGAGGCAGGAAAGAAACGCAGACAGCAGGAGAGACCGAAGGAAACGACAGCACTTTCTGCGGGCAAACAGGACTCACAGGGCTGGCAGCAGGCACCACAATTAAATAAAACCATCAGAATAGGTAAAGCTGGAGGAGGTGCTGAAATACAAATCCACTTACCTTGAATGTCTCTCTCTCTTTTTTAGTCTTTTCATTGTACCAAGGCTCATCATTAAATGGATTACTCTGCCAGACGTATTTCAGAGTCGTGCACACAGTGGCCTTGCTCAATAGGATGCACAAATACACTATCAAGAAAGCGTTGATAGATCTGAAAAACAGGTTTCTTTTTTCAATTCTTGCAGCTATTTTTACACAGAAAACTGTGTAAATAAGCAGGAACAAGACTTCCTCACTTTTAAGAAAGGAAATACAGAACAAGTGCTTTTGACGCTGCTGATATTCAGTCAGGTTCATATATTTTAACATCTCTTAATTTTGTTTTTAAATTAAAAAAATACTAAATTATGCTGTTTCTTGCAAGATACGCTTTATCAAATACCCAGATTTTCCTATGCAATCAGAGAGCATCTGAAACAAAAGGCAGTAGATTAGGGGATTATGTCTGTACAAGTCATCTATTAAAAACAAAAGCAAACCCAACAACTCTTACTGATTTTTTCTGGAATATAAATACTCACTTTTCCACTGCAGACCGTTTCTGAGATTTCCCTTGGTAGTTCAGAGCCATTTTCGTCTCCATTCCAGTATAAACTGCAACTCCTGCAGGGTATCAAAGCAGGGCTCATAAGGGATTTGCAGCCCCAGAGGGACCCAGCTGGCACTTGACCATAAGGGGCATCGGTGTTTACATCAAACTCAAATCCCAGCTGAAGGAAGAGGCATTACCCAAGGACTGTTCAACTACAGAAACCTCTGAGGCTGCCAAGTAATGCAACTGCATGTATCCCAGAGGACTGAGCAGGAGCCTATGGATCACATACAGTCAGAAAAACCATCAGTCTTCCATAACAGCCGTCGCCCTAAATCATCAGTGTCTGGAACTCTGCTCCTAGCACATTTCCAGCAAAGGATTTGGGAAAGACTCCTTGCTCATTGTATCTCGGGCAAAAAGAAAAGCTTGCTCTGGTGTATAAATACAACCTGCACAGCCTGGCAGCACTGTAGACACAACCACTGTCTCCTAATTTCACCCTGTCCACTTTGCAATCAGCTTGCATGCCAAACATAGCTGTTTAGCCCAGGCAGACAGGCTGTAAAGAAATATTTTCCCTCTCCAAATTTAGTAATGAACATCTATATTTTTCATCGTTTATCAAAACTATTTAAATGAATAAGTAATAAAAACTGTTCACCATAAATCTTCTTGGTATTTTTGAGGGTAGCACCTTTCAGCAACAGGTTTTCAGGACCCAAAGACCTAAACATAAAAGAAATTATAACATTACATTACTCAAACTACTTTATAATTTAGACTCAGAGACAGATTATAAAGCTAAACAGATGCTCTTCAGATTTGAGTACATGATTTGTATGTAAAATTGGGCCTTGCTTGAGGTTTTTTTTTCTCTTTATATACTTACATTTCCATTTCATCTTACACAGACTATCCCTGATGCTTAAAGTCCCACATTTATTGGGGGATTATCGGTAAGGCTTTTGAGGAATAAGTGCAAAATGTTCAGATCTCGTATGTTCCAGTACTTAGATGAAAATCCGATTTTAAAAGCATCAAAGCACAGTCAATCAATGGCACCATCAAAGCTGGTGGTCCCATTTATGTTTTTATTTCTCTCCGAAATCCCCAATGACACTCTGTTGACCCCCCCATCCATGACCCTCTCTTGCTTCCAGGGTATGAGTAGATCCATCACAGCACAATAGACATCCAGTATGCTCCAGTGAGAGTTGACTTTTTTTTGATGGCTTATGAACATGATCTGCTCATTTTTTCCCTGAAACGCTCTGATTGATGTTTAAGTTTTTGCTTTCCTTTGAAAGAAAATATTTTGTGATTGTCTGGTAAATTTCCCACCAGCAGGGCAGGACATGACCAGGTGGTCCTGCACTGCTTCCCCAAGAGGGGCTCAAACAAGTAACAGGATGGCATAAGGGAGGTCTCCTTTTATAATGAAATCTTTGGAATGGTTAAAGAAAAAAACCATTCCCAAATGATGGCAGCACAAGTTCAGATCCTTGAAATTTTATGTAGGTGTCCCTCTGAGGAGGGCCAGCAGATGGCTGTAAGACCAACCTGGCTACGGGCTCCTGGTTACTTCTGTAGATGATAATTCTTCCAACAAATCTGTAATAAAAATATGAGAAACTTCTATTACAAACATCTTATAGATACTACAAACATACTAAAGAAAAATCACTTACAGGAGATGGAAGCAAACACAGAAATGAGTGCATTTGAGAGTTTAACATTTCAGCGGGGTGGCTGCACTCAGGACAGGGAGAAACCACACACCCCCAGGGCCAGGGGTGTCCCTACATGCCCCAGCACATCCCCATTACAGACTGCAACACACTCCAGCAAACCTCCTTCAAAGGATGTGACCACAAAGACCCCTTACTCCTGGAAGTCATTTGGCCCAATGTATTTCACCTGGGAGGTAGAGCGGCTAAGATAATCACATGGACCATTACTACAGCTGAGCTGACAAAAAGAAAGCTCGTTACACCATGGCAAGTGTTGCACAACAGAGGTTTTCCTGCAAAGACACTCAGCCTTGAAGAAGTGTGGTGTTGACTTTGCCGTCCTCATATGGAAGAAGCCTAGAAGCTTATCACTGCCTTCAGAACCCTTTTGATCTCAAACTAAAAGAAGATGGCCTTTGCTTTGCTGAACTGTAACCTAGCAGATCTCCCGAATGACGGTGCTGAGGTGTCTGCAGGACATCAGGCAGGATGGGTAGGGAGGGATGCAGGAGGGGCAGACTCACTTGTAGAGGTCAGGCTGTGGCTGTTCACACTCGATGGTGGCAGTGAGGGTGTCGATGGCTTCATCTGTACAGAGCACGGTGGTATCCCGCACTGCGTAGTGAGTCTGGGCAGGGGAGAACAGGCAGCGTCACCACAAGCCCCCAGCAACAACCCCATCCCCAAGTTTTACACTCTGTTACTTAAAATGTCACCATGCACAGGCTTGTTAGCACCAGCAGTTCACCCAAGCCCTCACCATGCTCCCACAAAGCAGCTGAAGCATCTCTCAGTGAAAGAATGAAGTCACTAAAGCTTAAGAAAAACCATAGTGGCAAGGAGCTGAGCTGCTGAATATCTCCCAGTAAGACATCTACCAAAAGCAGAACATCTTTGGTTGTTCCCTAGGAACCTGTCCTGGTTGAGGTGGGGGGAGGATGCAGGTGACCCCTGAAGAAGGGGCTCCCGGGGACCACCTGCCCTGGCTCCTGATGGTAACTAGACACCAGCTCCAGCACCCAGGGATCAGGCAGAGCACAGGCAGACTCCAAGCTATTTTTAGCAGCTGCTGCTGCAAAGGTTCATCTCTCATAATTAACTGGAAAGCCCACAAAGGATCTGCTCGCTGCCTTTCAGGCTCTATTTATAGGAGCTACTGAGAGCTCCAAGTCACGGCGGGCTGCACGGCACGCTGCCTCCATCCATCTTCATAAACAAATTCATTAAAAAGCTTCCTCCACTCCTTACGTTTGCGTCCCCCTCCTTGTGCATCCCAGGGAGCACCATTACATTACACACACTGTAGTCATGGCATCATAAATAGCCACCTTCGTGCCGTTTTGGTGACCTGCCTGGCTGTTCGTATCGAAAGCAGACACACAAACACACACACCCCTCCAGTATAAATCACAGCTTTTGTGAAACGCAACTCGAAGCTGTTCCTGCAGTGTCCAGTACCAAATCCAGCCCTTGTGTGGGGTTTTGCATCTGCTGCTCCCAAAACCACAGACACTGTGCAATTACTGAGTGATACTTCAAAGCTGTCTCCTAATCAATTCCACAATCTTTACATCCTCTAGTGTATTTAGAAAACACGTGTTCTTTTAGCTAACGTATGACCAAAGATTTGAGCTTCAAAGACAGAGCCCTGAAAAAATCTCTTTTATGGTTCTGTTCCAGTTTCACTTAATCAGGCACCTTTCCCATATTTCAACCTGACATGCCCCAAATACCAGAAAAATCTCCACCAGGATGACAGCAGATATCCATGCAGACAAGGTTTGGTGATTACCCAAGTGTGCTTCCCTCACCCTCCTTTTGCAGCAAACCCTGGTTCCTAATGTTAGACCTATTTCCCCAAAGAGAACTGGCTTTTCTATTCCTCTTTCCCTTCAAACTCATCTTCATCTCATCATGAAACAGGAGACAGCTCCCAGTCACCTACAGGAATTTGCAAACCAAGAAAAACACAACACAGTGCTTGATATAGAAACTCAGCATCACACTTACAGACTCACAAGTTACTAAGACCCAAGACTCTGCAAAAGTAATGTGAACTCATGCATATAATACACCTGACAAAAATAAGCAGTAGCCTTTTTAATATGGTTATCTATTTTTAGCCTCAAGCCACTTCAAAGCTCCAACTCCTCTTCACTAGTGGAACCAGTACAGTGCACCAGCACTGCATCAGCTCCTACACAAGTTATCCAGAACCAATTAATAGCCAACAATAGAGATGAGCCACAAACCCCAGATAACACTTATCAGATCCACAGTGGTATTCCCAATGACTTCAGAGTGTGCCAGAATGAATTATGTAATTTTAAAGTATCTTCCAGTCTTACTACTGCAGCTGCTAGTATCTGTATAAAAAATTATCAAACCCAAGTGCAAACATTTGGTTGCACTTGGGTTTGATAATTTTTTAGACAGATAATTTGATAATTTTTTATACAGTTTTTTACTGTTGCTTCTTTCCCTAGATTAGAGAGTAAGAAAGAAAATAAACTGAAGAGATTCATCCTGAGCAAGACTAGTATTAAATTTCACTTCTTGCTTCAAGGAAAGGGAGAAAAAAATCCCAGAAGCGACGCTTTTCTCACGCTGGTGAAAAATTCCCCAAATGAATCTGGACACGCTGCCTGAAAAAGTCCCCAGTTTCACTGGAAATGCTCAGTTAAGTAACAGGCATGTTGGCAGGTACTGGAAAGGGAGCTGAAGAGCTGCAGGCACTGCTTTACTGATGCACCAGACCTCGCAATGTGCAGCTGGAGCAGGGAAGCACTAACATGTTCCTGTGGTGGGTAGTAAGGCAGTGAAGCTGTATTGATAAATATCAATACAGTTTGGGGCAGTGCCAGCAGAAATGGCTCTTGGAGACAAAACACAGCACAAACAATCCCTGAGGGCTTCAGTGCTGATGCACTGGAAGCAGACAAGAGGGAGGAGCTGTTCAATGCAGCCATGCAGCCATAGGGATGGGCTCCATGGGAGCACACTCCAGTTAAGCGCACCCTTCTGTCATGGAAGCAGTGGCACCTCCAGGTACCAAAGGACCACCTCCCACACACTGCCCCATCCATTCCTGTCACCTTGAAATTGGACTCGCCATCAAGACTCGCTGTAGTGACATAACAGGTCCCATCAATGCTGCTGGAGGCCAAAAATATCAAGTCACAGGGGAAGGTCTCATCTGCTTTCACTTCTACTATGTCACCAACCTAGAAGATGGAAGATATTTACATGAAAATCCTCTCAGTTGTTATGAGATGGTTATGATTTAGCTTCTCTCAAAGCCTAGAAGAAATCACCTTGGCTAAAAAGGTAAATTGGGGTTCAGGAGGTGTTGGGTCCTTAAGCATCACCCCACAAGCCCTACAGGGTGATCCAGCCCATCACCAAATCAGAGCATCCACATGGCACAGTTACTGTTTATTTCTCTGCTAAATCTTGATGGAGCAAGAAACTGTACTTGTCTGAAGTGTGGCGTGATAAATTAACGTCAAAGCTAAGTGTACTTTCCTGGTGTCCTTGGGAGAGTTGGAAATAGAAGAGGACTGCCTGTCCTGGAGAAGTGCAAAACGCTGACAGATCTGTCACTTGTCAGCCCCAGTTCAGCTTTTGTGAGACAGCTTTTCAAAAGCAATCAAAGGCAGCTTCACTCCTTAAGCACGAACAGCTCTCAAAGTATCTCATCTGAAAGTGAGCAGGCGGGGGCAGCTCCAACCCAGTACATCCCTCCTCCCCTGTCCCTGTCCCCTTACCACACAGACCTTTGTGTTCCCATCAGCTTCAGCGATAACCACATGCGAGTTAACAGTTACCTTGATTTTTTCACTCTCTTTCCGCACTTGCTTTGCATTTTCGACAACGAAGACATTGCTCTTGTTCACTTCATTGTCAGCTCTGTGCCTCAGCCAGTCCTCGTACCCCTAGGCACACAGACACAGGCAACAAAGCTCATAATGAAGCAAGTAAACTAATGAAAAAGGATGAGTGAGGCTGTAGAGGGACAGATTAAAACAATGAATATATCAAGCGGTCCTCAGACCTCCTTCATGCCTGACAAAACATCAACCAGAGTAGCTCAGACTGAATCAATTTATTTTAAAAACTTCATATGCATATTTGACAGATTCAGAACAGATTAAAATAACACACAAAAATAATCTATATGCGGGGCATGCAATGAGCAGCCAAACTACCGAAACACACTTCTATTATTCTCAGCATTAGCAAGAACAGGCTGATAATATGAATAATACACTTAGCAGCCCTCAACTCTTTCCTATGGTAACGCAGGATGAGACTCTTCCTCTTCAGTCTTTACTGGAAGAATAAAACATTGAGATTTGAAGCAGATAGATTTTATTCTAGCGCTCTCTTTCCGGCCACTGTAGGAGAAACTTCTTTTATTATTCAAATCAGGAAACTTTAAATGGCACATGTGCATATGATGGGAGGAAAAAGGTCTTTTTACACCGCAAGATGAGGGAGGATTACATGTGTTCAGGACTAGCTAAGCGGTTGAACAGAACCTGTCCTTTCCACCTACCAACACGGGAGCAGAGCGTGGGCTATACTTGGAGCACATGTCTGCAAAGACCCACAGAGCATTTCTAAAAAGGGAAAAAACATTCAAGTAACACCAGAACTACAGCAGTAAGCTTTACTGACCCTCATGGCCTGCTTACAACAGCACATGCAGAGATGCTTTACGCTGCCAAAACAAGAGACACCAATAACCACTCTCGAAATGCAGTCTCTCCTGAGAAGCACCGGTGCACGTGTCTCACCCTCTAAGAAGGGTTCACCTAACCTACCAGTCCAAGTTGGTGACTTCTGAGTATATTTAAATACATGTTCATCATTTTCTCTACATGTCCCAAAGAGCATCTTCTTCTCCCCACACTGACATCTGTACCTGTTTGATAGCTGTGACAGTGATGACAAAGAAGAGCGGGAGGCCACTGGTCACTGGGCTAGTTGGGGTGTCCACTATAACCTGCAGAGAAAAAAAACATGTACTGCTGAAAGGTAGCAGAAGAAACCAAAACCCTGGTAACAGGGGAAAAAGGGACTCATCCCACTGGAGGCAAGTCAGAGCCCAGCAGAGGAGGAAGGGAAGGAAGGGCCTTGTCCCTGGAAGTGTTCAAGCCAGGTTGGACGGGGTCCTGAGCAAACTGATCTACTGAGTGGCATTCCATGGCAGGTAGGTTGGAATTATATGATCTTTAAGATCCCTTCCAACCCAAACCATTCCATGACTCATTCTACAATTCCAAGGGGCACATGAGAAGGACCAGCACAAGCCTCCCCAGGAGTGCCCTTCTCCATCACAAGGAGACTCCAATACTTGCTCCTGAAGATCATGGGATGGCCTCCGGTGGGAAAAATCCTACCAGAAGCAGCTTAAAGCCTAAACTTGACCTTGCTCTAGCAGGATACAAAAGCTTGAGTGAATAGGCTGCTGGAGATGGGCTAAATGCAACTATTCAAAGGGTGAATGCCAGCAAGCCCACTCCCACCACAGGGTGTGCTGGAGAGGACCACGGCAGAGGACGAGGATGGGGCAGAGGCAGCAGCAATGAATGAAGTGACAACCACCCTCATTCCTCACTGAGCCACAGAAGGTCCTTCCTCCAGTTTGGCAGTGGAGACAGGGCACATCTGAACCTTAAATCACTTCTGGTTACAAAAGGGAGGACAGTACAAGTCATCTTGAACCACTGACAATTGAAGGTTAAAAATAACACACATCAGCCCAAATTACCTATTAGATATACTGCGGAATAGAACATGAATATTTAAGTGAAACAGAAATCCATGCTATGTCTTTCAGCTCTCAAGTTGGGATTTCAGAGCACAATTTAAGCATCATGACTACACAGGGGCCTTAGGGCAGATAGGTGGATCCTTCCTGAGCTCTCTCAGGTGTTTGAGCCAGCCCTGTGGCAAAGAACAAGCCCCATCACCATTAAATAAACCTTCAGGCTGTGGGAAACCACTGTTTCTTCTGACTGCATCCAGACTTGGCCTAAAGGGTAAGAACAGCAGAACAGGCAAGAAACAACGTAAGAGGAGGACAAGCTGCAGCCTTGCCCCACCTTCCAAACCAGGGTATAATAAATTGGCCCTTTTTCCTGCTGTCCTCAGAGAGAATGGGAGCACAAGAGGCAGATGATGAGCTCTGTGGTGAAAGGGATGGGGAAATTCAGCAGAAAGGCTTTGTGTCCCCACAAAGGGACTTTGTCTCTTGTTTGTGCTTCCCTGACGCACTCAAAAACAGCAGCATCTGTATATTTATTGTTTCAGACTGCCCATAAAATGCCATGTTAAAGACAGGACTCCTCTTACTGGCTATGTGGACATTTTTGACTATGAAGTGATGTACGCTGCAATATTACCCTGCACTACTGAACCCAAAGAGGAAAGTCAGAGGATACTGAAGCTATTTTTGAACTGGTTTAGGACTTCAACAGCTTTATTTGGATCCACTTAAAAGTGACAAAATCCTCCTGTTACTTAATAGATTCTTCCTAGGTGATTCCTTAGGAGATTGAGAATCACACTGTAGAAGTCATCTCCATCAATCAAAAGGGACACTTCTCATTCCTGGCACCTCCTAAATTAGTTTACTGCCACCAGCTTGGTCTGTCTACAAACACACTTGGACTTCAGTCACTCCAGACCAATCCCTTCCACTGGGAGTTTCCTTGCAGATTCCTGTGAGTGTTGCAATAGATGAAACAAAGAAACAACTATTTGTATCTGTAACCCTGCTTGTCTGTAACAGGTGTTCCACCCCAATGTACCTATTTTGTCTTAGAGAGACAAAAGAGCTGGAGTCACAATGTAATGTTTTAATAAAGGGTTTCACAACAGGTAGAGTAGATGCACCAGGGAATACCCCAAGTGCTGTGATGCTTCACTCCTCATGCAGCAATCATGTAAGACAATTCCATTCATTTGAAGAAACTTAAAGATAAGCACAAACATTTAAGCAATGGCATTTTTCAAGGTACAGCCCTTGGTATTTTAAATGAATGGAGTGGCCCTGGCTGCTTTTTAAGGCAAGTGACATCTCCAGAAGCACCTGGGGGCAACTGGTTACTCTATACAGCAGCCAGTGGATCAGTGCTGTCAGGTTGGGTTTTGCTTGGTTGGGTTTGTTATTTTTTTAATAGGCCATGAGGGCTGCTTCCTTATTTTAGAGGTGCTCACAGAAGACAGTGAAGGCAGAACAACCAGGCTCTTCTCTCACCTGCACACACCTGTGTCTAAAATGGGCAAGCAGCTAGACTGCAACCCGTTCTGTAAGTATAATCAGGAATATTCCACATTCTTCGTGGCCAGAGGGTCAATAGATAAAATGTAATACCGCGTCACTAAGTGGCCAGCTACACAAAAAGGACATCCCGACTCCAGGGCATCGCTTCAGTTCAAGGCAAATTACAAATTGGGTCTGACAAAATGGAGCAACGCCAGCGAAATGAAGAGATGGAGGCAAGCCAGCTGACGCCGGAGTAAATTGGCCTTTCATGTCACACTGCCAGGAAGAGCCACACACAGCTGTTATCTTGGGATCCCCCGTTTCTGCAACAACCACCGAAATGACTATAAATCATAACTCTTTACTGTGAGGATAAAGATTTTAGGCACTCATCTTTCAAATAAGCAGCCTAGGAGAGAGTGATACCCCAGTCCTGAATCACCAAAACCCTGGAGAAATCACCTAACAGAAGGATCTCTGCAGTAGCCACACAATGCCACTTCATTTGCTGGGGTACAGCTCTGATGCCTATTTTCAGCCCTAGAGCTGGCTGTCTGCTGAGACCCAGGCCTGAGGATTTAAAAGGTGAGTAAATGCACTGTGGTGATTCTCTCAAACTCCCTTTGCCCCAATGCATTTTGACAGCTTGCTTTTCTTGGATGACAGAACAGATAAAATGAGTATTCAGGCTTCCCCAGGATTTGCCCCTTAACTCAAGCTACAAGGCAGAGCAGGAAAAGTTCATTCATGTAAAAAATTTGCTGTTTTGTCCATGCATAGCAGCTTCCTGAAACTTCATGTTACTGAATCTCATCCTACGCATTTTCTAAATTCTACTAAGTACAACCTATCTCTCCTGCTTGCCCTGAAACTCATGATAACTGAGACATATAAATATCACGTGACTTCAGAAAATAGAGTTATGCAACAGAAGTAGTAACTGTGACAAAAAAAATAGATTCTGTAGCATCAAGTGTATTTTCACTGGTTGATTGATCTTAACAGCTAGAGTTAAGACGGTTCATCAATGTTCCAGCAGTCATTCAAACCTCATCTCAGATAGGCCTAGATATTTTAATTATTATTATATACTGGATGGTGTGGTAGAATTATAACACAGCTTCCAACTAAAAAAAACAAAACCACTTATAAGCACAGAGTCAGTTTTGAAGCTCAATTCTTGTTCAAGCTGTGCTTACCATCTGTACCAAAATAAAACCCACTCTCAGCAGCAAAGCTCTTACCTGCACGAGGAAGATGATCAGGAAATAGAAGTTGGCAATTCTTCTAAACTGTTCAAAAAGGTTCTTCGGGAGGAAGTTCCAGAGGGTGTACTGTGGGGAGAGAGGGGGACTCACAAACGAACCAAGGTATGTGACTGAGAGGGACTAGAGCTACAAAATATAAAGTATTTGCACAAAAGAAGAAAGGAGTTCTCCCTTTAACATGCCAAGGAGAACCACAGCAAGGCAGCTGAGCAGCTCCAGGCAGAGGTCCAGGTCCCAGACCTAAAACCAGGAGCACGATGGACCTGGATGCTGACACGCCACCGAGCTCCTGCTTCAGATTCCAGCTCCAGTTCTCTCTGCTGGAGCAGAGTAGGAATAATTGGAAGTGCCTCACAGTTGTGTGGGCATTTGTGTTTCTTTGCTTTAAAGTAGACAACTATTTCCCTTTTGTCAAAATAACCCAAACCACACATTTGGAAAACGGTGAAGGTAAAATAAAATAAAAACAACAGGATCTACTTCAGCAGACAACTTCTAGAAAGGCATTTGTAGACATATGATTTCATTAAGAAATAATGCACAGTGGAGATTTTTTTCCAAATTTCCCAAACCATCTTAGAGATGCTTTTCTGTTAAAAAAAAACCAACAACAAAAAGTCAACGAAACAAACAAAAAGCAAATGAAACAAACAAAAACAAACAAAAAGCAAATGAAACAAACAAAAACAAACAAAAAGCAAATGAAACAAACAAAAACAAACAAAAAGCAAATGAAACAAACAAAAAGCCATGCTGCCAATACAAAAAGCCAATACAAATCTGGTATTAGGTCCTGCTTTATTATAATTTTAAGAAGGCTGCTGAATCATTTGCTTTAGAAAACATGGAATTTAGGACGACCATGTAAAATAATGGGTCTAATATCTATCTTTCAATCTGCCTGGAATAAAAAAGAATAAGAAGCCAAGTCTCATGACCAATGTCTACTTAATTATAAAAGAGACTGGTCAGGTAAGACCACCCATGCCTAGCAAATATAAATGGAAAAAAAGAGCAAGGACACAACATTCAAAAATAAATCAAGGAAGAACTAAAATTAGTGCTCAAACAAACCATTTGTCAGAGAGGGAACTGGAACAGGGGGAGGTGTCCTCGCTGAAGGACCCCCTCTTGCGTGCCAGGGAAATGTCAATGGGAATGCTACACAAGTTAAACATGGCTAGACTTAAAACTTTTTCCCAAAATAAACTCAGACAGCACAGACATATAAAAACAGATAAGAGCCAAGATGTATAAAAAGAGAAAGGAGAGGGAAAACACAGTTTACAGCTCAAGTACAGCAAAACTGAAGCCTGAGTGTATGCTGAGCATCATGAATCCTAAGTAGTGTGATACGTATCCAGCTGTGTTGACAATATGGAATGCCACTTGTTTGATATTTTACTCGAATTTGCCTCAAATCTTTTGAAATAGCTTCATGAATGTCATGGAAAAAAGCTAAGCAGAAGGCAGATGGGTGTCATCACAGTTTTCCACCATAAACAAAAGCGGCATTAATACCATATGAATGTTTCCCCCTTTCCATCCAAAGGGATAAACAGAGCATGGTTATTTTTGTCCTATCTCAAGACAGAAAAATCCCATGGAATTAAAAAAAATAAAATAAAACGGGGAATTGTATTTTTCAGTCCATTTATAAAATAAAACAATTCTCACTCCCTTTTGCAAATCTGATTGCTGTTACCTCATACTGTATTACATCTAAATTGTCCTTTCTTCCCAAAGCAAATGCCAGAAAACTTAAAAAAGAAAAGACACCACCAAAAACACCTACCCCAACCCCCCAAAACCATTGTGTCCATATGCTTTGCTCTCATCCAGCCTAGAAGAAAGGAACTTGTACAGACCCACACTGGCATTGATAGAAAGAAAAAAAAAAAAAAGCCAAAGAGAGTGACTGGAGTTGCATGTAAGGTCCGTACCACACTGCTCCACTTGCAAAAGGACCTTTACATCCAACCCTGAGGAACTCAGCGTTTCTCTATTTCAGAAACCACCACCAAATAAAACCATGGTGAATACAGGAGCAGGGAATGCATGTCCACTATGCACATGGACAAGCAGAGCGAGCTCACCTTGGAGGAGACAATCCTGTTGTCGCAGAACTTCTGTGCCACACACGCCTCTGTTTCTGAAACAGGACGGTGCCCGACCACCACGGTGCGTGTACCGACCCGCTTCTCCTCCCCAGCACACTGTCAGGGCAACCAGGAAAGGGAGAAATTAGCTTTCAACTCAAAAAAATTAATTATCTGTGTTAATAGCTTCCAGCTTCTCAATGCACTCTGCTGTTCATTAGAAAAAAGGCAGCTAGAAACCCAAAAATTCACTTCTATGCCCCACTCAAAGCACAAAGAAGAACACATAAGGTCATTTAGCAAAACCAAGACCATGCTGAACCTCCAGCCCAGCTCTGCTCAGCCATCAGCTCCCAGAACCCCAGCCTGTCACCAGGACAGGTCGCTATGCTGGACACCTGCTGCCTATACTTGCAGCCTATACCAGGCAATTTCTCCTTCTTGAAGTAGAATATGTATCTTTATCAAGAATTTGAAGTCATAAGGAATATATTTTATCATCTACATATCTCTTCCTAGTTCTGACCTGAAAGTCCTTCAGCTTTGGGTTTATTCACCACAGATAGAATGATGAAAATTGCAGCCTCCTTTACACACACACTCTCCTGTCCAATCCTCAAGTCCATGTAAAATGCCTCACCACCACACTGGTACACAGAGACTTTGGATTTAGCTTAGAAAAAGTCTACTTCTATTTAAAAGACAGATGCTCATGGAGTGCCCTGGATCTGGCTCCGCATCTCGGTTGTCCAAAGGGCTCATCACAGGCAGCTTGTCAAACTGCAAACAAAACCCAGCCAGAGAAAAGGTGTTCTGAAAACAAACATGTTAAGACAGCAAACCCTGGGACTAACTGCTGCTTGGGGAAAGTGTAAAAACCAAAAATTTAAACAACTAAAATAGGTGTACCTGGAGCAGCAACAACTGAATTGATCCTGCTGCACCAGGAGCAGGATCTGCCCAAAGGAAGCAGCTTCCTTCCCCCTGCTTCCCCACCTGTGTCTACACCATCTTTAATTAAAGAAGTATTTTTACACTATGCCTAAACCTGGTTTGCTGTGCTGACTGCTCTGCTACAGCCATCCCCAAACCTCCAGCAGCTGATGCTTAGAGTAGAAGATGGAAATTTCTCACAACCCTGCACCATATCCCCACACCTCCCAACACAGATCCAGCAGCAGCCACCAGCACCTCCAGCAGCTCCCAAACACAGATAAGGCAGGCGCACATTCCCAGCTAGGGAATGCCACCACTCTCCCAGCCTCATCATCACTGCCTGCAGCAGTGAACAGCACATCTTCCAAAAAATGTTCCCTGATGTATCCGCTGCGTTATGGAGGTGGGTCTCACCAACCTGCACCCCAGGAGCGAGAGGCAGAGCCATTCATCTGCGCCACTGCAGCACCAGGGAGTTGAGACAGTGTCCCCAAGTGTGAAGTCCCCGTCGTGTCCCTGTGAAGGATCTGGAGCCAGGCGTGCCTGGCGAGTATCCCTCCAGCACAGGGAGGAAGCGACAGCTTCCCCTGCCTGCACCATTGGCAGAGCAGGGGGGAAGGAGCAGGGGTGAGGATTTGCCAAACACACGTATTGGCATGGAAACCATAAAGTTCTGGTTAAAGCACTACTGGAAAAATATACACGAGCATTTACTGACTATCCACAGCCATAGAAAGCATGGAGCACATGAAGCCCCAGAGCAGAGGAGAACCCAAACCCCAGATGTGGTGTGTTGGCTGACCAAGCCTCACTGAGTTAGCACCACTAACTCCTAGGTGGGCTTTCACCCTCATCTCCCTTCAGTTATTTATTGGAAGCATCTTTTACAAAGAATGACTGTAACCCCATGTTAACAGTAACACTGTAACTCCACAATGCATCCGAGCCCTCTGAGGTGGCAGGAGAGGGAGCAGTCATCATTCCCCGGTCTGCCCAGGCTCCCACCACTCACAGCATTTCATTTCCCACTCCCTCAACCACCCCACGGTGTCACACCATCCTACACCCCACAAGAAGCTGGAAGGCTTCACACCACATCTTTCTCTTCTCCACTTTCCAGAAAGTGAAAACACACCACGATGACGCCTGAGGCGAGAGGTGTTGGCTCAGCACAGCAATTAAAAGCTCTCATTTTGACGAACCCACCTCGGACCTCTCGCTGGGTCGCTAATAGATTGCTACATCTTAATAACAGCTCTCAACAGAGACTTACAGGGAGATTTAGGGAATAACTGCCAGGCTTTGAGGAAAATTATAAAATATGCAGATTAGCAGAGAGAGGATTTAGATTACCTTTTCCAACCGCCTTTCATCAAAAATTTTAATTCTGATAAAAAAAAAAAGAAAATATTACTTGGATACAATTCAAACAGCTGTCTCGTTGCCTGGTGGGGTTCTATAAAGCCCAGAGTCCACAGCTCTGCAGTGAGCTGGTGAGGGCAAATGCCAGAGTTTCTCCTGCTGTTTAGAGCCAAGTCTGCCAAAAGGATTATTCAAGAAAATAAACAATTGCGTTCCCCTCATATGCACTTTATCACCTCCCTCGGCCTGAGGCGTGGTGTTTGCATGAGTGCTGGGAGAACCAGAGCTATCTGTAGGGATTAGTCAGACTGCTCACAACCTCGGGACAGTGCCAGGGGAAGCCACACTGCATCATCCCACCAAGGCTTGACAATGTGGGGATGTTGGTAGATGACCTCAGATCTGTCTGCTGTACCATGTCCCTGCGATCCAGAAGAGCTCCCAGTAGCTGGCAGACACACAGCAGCAGCCCAGGGGACACTGCAGACACCACGAACTGAGAAGAAGGAGGGAAGGAGGTATTTTTGAGCAGAGTCACTATCCTGTCTGCATCATCTGCAGACCAGCCTCAAAGACGTGCGTCTCTCCCGCAATATTTCAAGCTTCAGTTCAGGGCTCCTGGTCCACTCCCCCAGTGCCTAACCAAGCCCATCAAAGAGTCAATCTTTCAGCAGGGCATTCAAACCAGATTTCTCCTGAAGGAGCTCAGCTGGAAGACAACAGCCAAACACAAATCATAAGAGATAAAGATGAGGCTAGCAAGGCTGTTCTGCCAGGAACATCCTTCAAGTTGGCAGCTCACTTTCCATCTTCCTTCTCCCCCCTGGGCAGGACCAGGAGTCCAGCTGCAGTAATAAATAACCACATCATCACCACCGATGCAGGCACACTCTGCTGCATGGGCAAAGGGCTGCTGCTGCAGCACAGTCCTCCTCAGATCATGGAGAAATTCAGATACAGAACGTATTTCTGTTAAGTAATTTGATGCAACCCAACTTTCCCCTACTCTCACCTTTTATAAAGCCCATGTACTGCCAGGAGCAGCAGCTCTGAGAACAAGGCATTAAGGATAATGACTATTTTCTTACGCTGTCCAAATTTAAAAAGCCCGTCTACCTGCACCCAGACGCCCATGGAAGGTCAGTAGAAGTTTGGCATTTCACTACAAACTTTTTTTTGGGGAAATAAGAACACATATGATTTGAAGGCATCAGACCAGGTCTAAAAATACCCATGGATGCAACTTGCAACTAATAAATAACCCAAAATCATCTATGACTTTAAGCTTTTGGAGCATTACATAGAGACAACGGAATTACATCTGCAGCCCACAGCACTCCCCAAATTCTTCACCTCAGTTTGGCAACCCTTTGTGTCTCTTTCCCCTCTCCACCTGTGCCTTTCTCCCACAGAGACATCCTGCTCCAGCACAACGGCTGTCCCCTGCCTCAGAGAGAGGCTCCTCTTCACCCACTGTCCCCAGTTTCTACGAATCCATTACAACATCATGTACAGGACCTGGATGGCCCTTGATAAAAGTTGCAAACCTGGGTAAAAATTAGCAAGCCTAGATAAAAATTAATGGAGTTAGTCTGAGTTCAACAGGAGAGGTGAACCTCTCCTGCAGCCACTGCTGACAAGGAGCCACTCTGAGTGGACTATTTCTAGGGCAGTTGTAAAACACAGTGTATAATTATATGCCCCATATGGAAAGCAAGTTGTGTGCTACCTGCTGATCCTGTTTCCAGAAAAAAAACACACAGTGGCAGAAGGAAAAAACCCACCAGCATTTGATTTACTAGAGCTTCAGAAAGCACCTAAACCAGAACTAACTAATAAAAAAACCACTGCTTTCATGTTTGCTGAAGATAGCTTCAAGCCACAAAGTAAACACAAATAACTCGTAGAAAACATATCTAATAAAAACCACAGACATTTAAAAAAAAGTCATCTGCTAAAACCAGAGATAATTATATGGTGTAAGTACAAAGTTCAAACATTTGAATGAAATCACAGCTTATATTAAATATATGCAAAAGAAAGATTAAATCACATTACTTGGCTTCAATCTCATGAATAGTTTAAAGTCTAATTTCTCCTATATTGTTCCATTTATCAAAAATATAGTAGAGAAGACGACCTGATTTACAAAAAAAAAGCCTACAAAAATAACACCATCTCCCAAAACAGTCTGTTCTAGCTCCTGTTTCATTTAGCCCCAAAAGAACAAAGAAAAACGCATGCACAATTTTAAAAAGCCTCCATAAATTTACCATAACCTCCCCCAAAACATCCATCAGCCTTGGGCAGTCGCTCAGCACACCAACTCCACTGCCCAACTGATACATTTTTAATTGAAAATTTTTCTTGCCGATTTCTCTAAGACTCCCTGTTTTCAGTGATTTCTATGCAGGTAAAGGCGAACCTTTGAGAATGCCCTTAATAATTTAGCAGTTCGGACTATGCTTACCCATGTTGACCACATATTTAGGCAGATCTCCTGATTTAGAGAGAGAATTCCATCGACTGGGATCAACCCCACTGCTCTCCCTGAACCTGCAGAAAAGAGTCGATAACGTGCACAGACCTTGGAAAGGAAACAACCAACCAACATCGCATTTGAAACACCAAGAGCTCATAGGTCCAAGAGAAAGGGCTGAAGGTGTGGGCTGCTTGAAACTCATCTCTCACTGGACAGGACTTTAGCTGCTCAACCCTAAGCAAAATAGGGAAGGCTGGTACCTTGGGAAAGCAGAAAGTTGAAGTTTAAACCTGTATCCCTTCTCCTATGCTGAAGCTTCTGCTGCTATTTCAACCAG